AGATCAGGGATTATTAGTCCTGAAAGATACACTCAAGATAAATAGGCTGTACGGTCAAAGACCTGTCATATCCCCTTGGAGAGTAAAAGTGCACATTGTCTTATTTAAAAGCTATAGATGGGCTTCCCTGGTGGCGCAGTGGTTGAGAGCCCGCCTGCTGATGCAGGGGACACGGGTTCGTGCCCCGGTCCAGGAAGATCCCACATGCCGTGGAGCGGCTGGGCCCGTGAGCCATGGCTGCTGAGCCTGCGCATCCGGAGACTGTGCTTCACAACGGAAGAGGCCACAACAGTGAGAGGCCCGCATACCACAAAAAAAAAAAAAAAAAAAGAAAAGCTATAGAAAATTAATCTGTTTAATTTTGTATTAAATCAGCATTTTCTAAATATGCTTGACCACAGAATTCCTTTTTAAAAAACAAATAATACCTATTAATATTACCAGGTAATAAAGTGACTACCTTTCAACATAAAAGATTAGAGCATTAGGTACAAATCTTTTACTGAAACTAAATTAAAAGAATGATGTCTCCAGTTCTGTGTTGGAATCACAAGCTGAAGGTCTTGAACTTTAAATTAAGGACTCTCAGTCAACAAAGGTCCCTCAGTTACAATAATAAGTAAACAATTAGAAATTCCTTAAAGAGTTTTGACTACTAAAAAAGTTATTAAAATTTAATAATAGCACCCAGAAGCCTCTGAATGATAGTTGGAAAGGGAGAAATGTAGCAGATTTTATTCTATGGAGTCAAAACACAGCAGGAAATGTCATATGACTGACTCACCACGTGTGTGCATCTGGAGCTGTTTTCCTGTACTTATGACTGTGAAATTTGCTGACATATGTACCATCTCCAATCCAGGTTATCCTGTGGCCAAAGCCACACATTTACAGTATATTTCACCATCATAATATCTTTTCAAAGTCCCTTAAAACAGCCTTTCTCCCTTTTTTATACCAATCCCTGAGATCTTAGTGCCTATCAAAGAGTCAAAACTCTGTCCCTAAACCTTTACTTAACCCTTAGACCGACTCTTGTTTTCTGGATTGTTATTTCTTCAGGCCATTGGATATTTACTGCCTCAAGTGGCATCAAGGATATGATACCAACCGTGAAAAATGTTGTTTGGAGGTGGCCTAATGTAATATTTAATTTCAAGTTCCAGCATCCTAGCTGTGTGACTTTGGGGAAATTACTTACCTGTTCCACACTATGTATTTGTATGTAATACCACTTGAGGGTATTCAATAAATGCCAACAGAACAAATGAAACATGGTTTCCTCAACCGTAACCTAGGTAACACTACAACTCGCCTCACAGGCTCATTGGGTGGTATGTTGTATTTGACATAGTACGTGTTCAGTAAATGTTAACAAGAGTGATCTAGATTCCTTTTTGTAATTTAAGTTCTGCATTCAAGACCTAGTGGATCACCCAGCAGGATTCTAGGAACGAGTTGTCCCTAATTCTAAGGGGATTTTGACAGTTAGCATAGACAGTGGTTGAGCAAAATGTTTCTGGTAAGGAGCAAGAAACAGATTGCTTCCAAAAAAAGATTTACATTTGAGTGTATAGGCTTCTGTGCTAAATCATAAGTTATGTCAGTTGTTTCCATAATGGCTAAATTAAATAGTGTGAGATACTAATATCAATAACTGTTAAGAAACACAGTCCAACTTCCTTGAAGTCACTTTTCTTGTAAAAGGCTTATTCATACCTATTTTGGACCAAAGAGATACAAGATTGTTATACCTTGAAGGGGGTGAACGGTTTATGATGATGTGCCAGAGAGAGAATTAACTGGACTAGGCTCCAGATTTGAGTTCTAGTCTGACCTGGAGCAAACCACTTGACCTTTCCTACTTGTCTCATCTGTAAAACGGAGGCAGTAGTTAGACTCACAGAGGCCTTAGGGTGATTAAGACAGATAATAAGTGTGAGAGTTTTTTAAGTGAGAATAAGTTACTTGTCAATATTGGCATGATTTGTAGTGTCTAAATGATTGTTCAACGTCTTTACATAATACTTCTGTGATGGTGTTTTAGAGTTAAAAAAGGAAAATATGGATGTCCATGTTTCCTAAAAAGCTGAATAGAAGGAACCCCGGACTTGGCGTCTGAAGTGTAAATTTGCCTTTCATCCTGTTACTTGTTAGCTTCTTAAGTGATTTGGTGCAAGTCACGCTGAATCTCTGGTTGCTTCTCACCTGCAATATAGGTTGATAATATACGCTTTCACCAACTTCACAGAGTCACTTTGAGGATGTATTTAATAGTACTGTGTACACTGTGAACTGTAAGGTCATTCATTTACTCATCCATTGAACAAATCCTTACTGAGTACAGGCTCTGCCCCAGACACTGTGCCACGTGCTGGGGCAGAGTCCTGCCCTCGCGGGGGTTATAGCCAACGGGAAAATTCCTACAGTAAACTGGTAGACATACAAATTAACCTATAAGTAGCATAATGATTAGTGCTACTAAGCAGAAGAGCAAATGTCAGGAGAAAGTGACAAAGAGACCTAATTCAGATTGGGATGGTTGAGGAAGGCATTCCTGAGCAAATTATATTTAAATTAAGGCCTGGAAGATAAGAAGTGTCAGCCAGGCAAAAGGGGAAGAGAGTGGGAAGGAGGGACTTTTCAAGCAGAGAGCCTGGCTGGAATATGTGAAGACTGGAAGAAACAGAGGAGAACTTCTAGTAACAGGAAAGCTGGAAGAGAGTAGGGGCCAAAAATGAAGGTGGAGAAACAGCAAGTTCTGTATACCATGTTAGATATTTTGGATTTTATTATAGGTGTAGTTGAACGGTGTTGAGATGTGTTAAGCAAAGAAGGGGGAAGATTAAATTTGCAGGTTTAAAAGGTCAGTCTGGCTGTCATATAGAGAATTAATAGGGGAGGACACGGAAGCGTGGAAAGCCCAGTTAGGAGGCTATCATTGTAGTTGCACAGCACAGAAATCATGGTAGCTGAACTAGAGTGGAGGAGAATTAATCAGACTTGGTGGTGTCCTGGATGGAGAAGGAGATATGGAAAGTAATTTTCCTGCGTCTTGCTTGAGGAACTGTCAAATAATGGAGACTTTAACAACCTGACAAAGCCTGAGGGAGGATCGAGGCCTATGTTAACACTGGAATGTCTATTATGTATCCAAGTGGAGGTGACAAAAGTCAGCAAGAAGAGAGGTCTACCACCCACATCATTAAGTCATTAAGTCATTCAATTATTCACCAAATGTTTATTGAGGAACAATATGCCTAATTCTGTACTAAGTGCTGGAGGTTTAAAACACAGTGATACAAATGGCTCTGATCTCATGGAACCTATTGTATTTTAGCAGCTGGTAGTAGCTGCATAGGTGATTTTAAAAATCAGAGACAAAACTGCATGACTGAGGAAATTCAGACGGGTACATGGATGTTAATATCTCTCAAATTACATGCTATAACACTTCCACTCCCCGGAGTGCTCAGCCTGTAGCTGGGGATCAGGGCCTTAAAAAATAGCCATTTTAACTGTTAAACATTTTGGTTCCATTGGCTCCTTTAAAGAATGCATTGTAACAGTTTAGTATTAAGCCTACATTTACATTTATAAACATTTTTTAAAGTTTGTCTTGTTATAAAATCAAGCTGTCAAAATGGGAGTTTCACAAAATGGAAAGTCGTTATTTTATTAGACCCAGGTCTAGTCATACAAAAACAAGGTCTTCAATTTACTAGGGGAATGTGGAGAGTTTTGAGAGAGTCCCCAAATGATTAAATAAGAAAATCCATATCCTACAAGGCAATCCTTATATTTAGCATAGATATTTATGTGTCACGGAGATGAGTGGAGTATTGAGGGGGAATATAGGTAGTGAGTTTAAGTATATCAGGCTCATAATTTTAACACCTAACATTTACATGGTGCTTTACAATTTTCTGAGCCCCACTCATATTTTTCTTTAAATCGTGTAGACCATAGTTATCAACTATAGTTTCAGGCTGGACAAAACAGGAAGAATTACAATTTTATTCTAAGGGAGTCAGGTCATGTATAAAGAATTATTTTCTGAGGTTGAAGATTGTCACGCACTGGAATGGTTTCCTTGGGGATGTTCCTGATTCACCTTTTCTAGGAATCCTTAATAACAGCATAGAGTTATGAGGCCAAGATTGATGTTCATCGGTCAAAATGAGAAATGGTATAACATAAATGAATGTATATAGAGGCCCTTCCCTCTTGAAGTTGCAAGGCAAAAAAAAAAAAGCACAGGCATTAGAGCCACACAGCCTTGGTTGGAATCTTCACTCCATCTCTTGCTAGCTGTGTACCCAAGAGCAACTTATTTGATGGCTCTTATTTCCTTTATCTTCATAGGGAGCTTAGGAGGTATTAATGGATGACATGAAGTACCCAGGTTATTCAACAATCATTTGTGCCCTTCCTCTTGATGCCTTCCTCTGAGGCATCCTTCCCTAGCATTCTAAAATTGAAACCTGTGAACAAAATACGGGACCAAGGATAAAATTGATACCTGTGAAGAAAATATGGAACCAAGGATAAAACTGAAGCTCAATTTAAGACTCACCTTTTCCAAAACCTATTAAACTAGTGTAAATTTTTAGCAGCATATATGTCTAAAACTTGTTAAATCAGCCAAGATCATGGATCATCTTTTTTATAGTTGACCAGATGAAACGTCAGATTAATCTCTATCATTTACAGCATGAATTAAATTTATAAATGCAGCATGCAGTAGAGTTTTAAAATACCAGAACAGGGTTACAGTATTAAGATCAGAAGATATAATAATAATAATTTTATTATTATTTACTGTCACTTGAATATTTAAGGGAAAATTTAGGAAAAGGCACTTAATCCTTATTTTTCTCATGTGATAAGGTTTACTTAAATTTTATTCCTTTAAATACTTTCTAATGTTTAGATGAGCTATTCTCTTGCTTCTGTAGAAAAGCATGATTAACATGGATCAATTTGTATCTCTTTAACAGGGACAAGTGATCCATACGTGAAGTTTAAAATTGGAGGAAAAGAAGTTTTTAGAAGTAAAATAATACACAAGAGCCTCAATCCTGTGTGGGAGGAGAAAGCTTGCCTTCTTGTTGAACATCTTAAGGAACCATTGTACATAAAGGTGAACCATTTATTTGTTTTTCCCTAATGTAATCTGATATAGAAATCCCCGTTTAATGGTTTCTTATAATGTCTGTCTGTCTGATGAGGTTTTTCACCAGAGGTATATTCTGCTATGCACAATTCTAATCTGTTGGTGATGTGATAGAAATGAGCTATAGGGGAGGGGGAGCTGGTGGGAGCATCTTTCTTCTGGACAGCTCTATTGCCAGTTATATTTAGGAGAATTATGAAGTCTATCTCCTCCTGCTTGGTGCAGTTAACTGATTTAGTGCACTTTGGGAACGTATAAAAACAAGACTCCATATAATCTAGGAAGAGCTTACACAGAACACACCTTTTCTGTTTAAAAATTATAGCAGGGGAGACTTCCCTGGTGGCAGAGCGGTTAAGAATCCACCTGCCAATGAAGGGGACATGGGTTTGAGCCCTGGTCCAGGAAGATCCCACATGCTGCGGAGCAACTAAGCCTGTGTGCCACAGCTACTGAGCCTGTGCTCTAGAGCCCGCGAGCCACAACTACTGAGCCTGCATGCCACAACTACAGAAGTCCATGTGCCTAGAGCCTGTGCTCCACAACAAGAGAAGCCACCACAATGAGAAGCCCACACACCACAATGAAGAGTAGCCCCTGCTCGCTGCAACTAGAGAAAAGCCCACGCACAGCAACGAAGACCCAACGCAGCCATAAATAAATAAATAAATATTTTAGAAAGAATTATATCAGGGATCTACCATTCCTGGTTGCAAACAAAATGCTTTACTTGGAAGGTGAGGAGGGTAAACATAATAGAGGAAGGAAAACTCCTGTCTCTATTACATTACCAAAGATGGGGGGAAAAAAAAAGTATTTCCTTTCATTTGATGTAGTTAGAAAAAAAAAAAAAGAAGAAGAAGAATTTATGGAGTTAACCTTAATTCCTTATTTTACTTTCAAACCTGACTTCCCTTTAATTCATATCTCTAGGTACTTATATTCTTTTTGACTCTTATGTTCTGACTATCCATGCAGTGACCAAACGTTTTTCTGCTTTTTACCACATCACATGCCCCATCCTTCTCTCTAAATTGTCACAACTGGCACATGAGCCCCAAAGGTCACTTGATCACTCTTTCAGCAATCTCTGGGCATCCTTCTTCCCCTCAAATCTTCATTTGCATTGCTTCCAGCTGTTTCTGTTTTCCACAGAAAGGAAAAAGTAATCAAGATGTTACTAAAATCATAGCAGGACCATTTATCAAATCGATGAAAAAGAGAACTACAAGTATGTAGTTGATAAGTTTCTAGAAGTCATTATGGGGAGCATAGACCTGTATTTGCTTAAGAAATTGTCTCAAATGGACAATGGCTAAAGGAAATCAGTTAAATAGAATTAGTGAGCTATCTTTTAGTGTTCAAAAATCGTGACCCAAGAATTATTAATGTGAGAGTCTTCATGGCCAACCCTCCTCCCACCAAAGGGAAGACCTCCATGGTCAGAGATACTCCTCATCTCTAGAGAGAAAGAAATGTCTACATGAGAAAAAAGGAAATACCTTCATAATAAAGAACTGAGATAAGGGGAAAAAAGGAATTTTTAAAAAGTAGGATTAAGGAAGCTTATTCCTAGGGAGGTTTAGAAGAAATAAGTTAGAGCAGTTGCAACCATGAAGGAAATGGATAGGAAAGGAAAGCAGGGTTAATAAGGATAGCACTGGACCATTGGGATCTCATATAATGTCCCTTAAGAGAAAAATTATGGAAGAAAAGGATTAATTTCTAATTGCGTTTGCTGTGGATCTGTTTCTTGAATGGGATATTACTCTATGACAGAAGCATGTGGATCTCCAGTCTTTAAAGCGGTTACAAATGAATGTTCCAGTGTTACATTAGGTAATGGTTGGGTCCCTCTGCTATTCTTTTGTGTTCAAGAATGAAATTCTTCTGTGCAGAAATCCAGATGTCAAATGTGTATTTCAAAAGGAATATCATAATAGTCTCAAAAACGAACAAAAATCTTAGGTACACAGAAAAAAATGGTGGCAAAAATTTTTGTTTTGGTTTAAGAGAGCAAGAATAGATACACTTACATACTGAAAACGGAGACTGTAACACTGCCTATAGACCAAAGGCCTGGTTAATGTCACACTGGGAACAAAGAAGTTAGGAGAGAAAACCCAAGGGTGGTTTTTGTTTTTTACCACTTTGAGTTTCCAAAGTACAACATTATGTAGCCACAACTTAACTTCCACCTTACAGAAGAAGATACATAGTGAATTGTAAAAGATTTGACACTTTTTTTTACATTTCTACATAATAAAAAATAAGTTAAACAGAAATCACACTGACCTCTCAAATACTAGTACAAACATAAAATAACAAGACTTTATTTTTATGAATGCTTTATACTTTTTAATATGCTTTGATCTTTTTCATTTGATTTTCATTTTCTGGACCATGCATAGGGCTTCTTTTGAAAAAAAATTTCTGACTTTCACCTTTACTTTTCCCATGTTTTGTGTTATCTACTTTTTGCCTAATGTGGGACACACAAAGACCTAAATAATATACATTGGTGGAAATGATATTTTAAGTTACTAGAACTTCATGAAGATTGCATTATTTTCATCGTCTCTACATAGCTCTGTGTGATTGACTTTTATATGATGCCCACATCCTCTGTGATAGGAAATTAATCTTGCCTGAAAGATTTCTTAGGGACTAACTGATTCTGTAGTGACAGGTAATATGAAAATGCATCCATGAACTAGATGATTAGAAAATATTGTCTTCAACCCTCCTCTCTATGGTTCAATGAAAAAGAAGTCCACATGCACACTGTAATCTGATTTCTATCAGTGTAAAGATTACCAAGGGAAACAAAATTCAGTTCTAAGCTAAGGTTATAAAATCACACTGAAGTTACAGTACTTATAACATTTCTAGTAAAAACAAATTTTAAAAACTCTTGGTAGTGTCATTTTTAAATACTACACAAAATAAATAAATACACTTTCCAATTGGTTGGAATTCATATAGCTTTTAATTTTGATAAAAAGAGAATATTCCTTCAGTTATGAATGACTTCACAGTAAGGGCAGGTATAAAAACAAGGCTGCAGAGATGGGCTTGAAACATATTTATCGTAGGGTAGCAGTAGAATCTGGGAGTTAAATGCAGTGCTTCTAATTGAGATAAGAGCCCCTGGAGCCTGCTGTGTATCCACAGAGATGCTCCAGCACACATCTTAAATAATAGAGTAAATTCAGCATCCATTTCCGTTGAATTAAATTCAGATTCTCCATTGTAATTTCACTGACACTATTATTCCAGGTACATGATGAGCACCCAGAATTACAGTGGAAAGAGGTAGAAGTAATCTAAAAGGAGAAATGTAAATTGTTGCTTGTTTGGCCTAATCATGAGCTAGAAGAGCTAAATTGAAAGTGCTCTTCTAAATAATAGAAAGATTTTGATAACTAGAAAAACTATTCTGTTTGGAGCCATAGTACTGATTCTAAGATTGTCATTTTAACAAACTTGATAGTTCCTTAAATAACTCACATCTATCCAAGCTTAAGATTTAAAATTGAAAAGGTACTTAAAGCATGGGTCAAGCTAAGGACCATATAACTGTCTTGTCCAAAATTATTTCTCAGTAGGTTCTAAGGGTCCTAAAAAGAATTTCATATACCAACGACCCTCAGCCCTGACTGTACATCACTTTAAATATGCTCTGTGTCTGAAATCCATTACAAGATTTGAATCTGACCTCTTCTTAGCCCGGGCATTTAGGGGCAAGTAACATAAATGTTTTAAGCTTTGGATTCCTTATCTGACAAATGGAAACAATACTTTGTTCACTGGGTTGTATAAGAATGAAATTTAAAAATCTATATGATGTGTTTAACACAATGCCTTATATATGGTAAATGTTGAGTAAACATTAATCGTCATTAACTGTGCTTCTTATTGCAGTGGGAGTGCCTCTCCTATTTCATCACTCTTCTATGTTCTATATTTTCTGACACTTCACCTAGAGCAATGCTCCCTCTGACAAATAGTTTATAGAGCTTGGAACCAAATTGCATAGCAAACAATTTCATTAAGGAATGGATTCTGGTGTTTCCATTCTTCCCTGTGTTTATGCCTTTGCTGAGTAATAGGAATTGAGAACTAATGTAAACATCTAGCATTAGGACGGTAGAAAAGACTCTCCCCCTGAGAATAAACAGAGTTTGAATGTTGACTAACCCATTTGGGCTGTCTATACCGATAAATTCACTGGATTCACAGCTTTCCACTTCATACGTGTAGGTGAATCCCAGGTCTTCTCATGGATTGTATGTCACTGTAGTCTCCCCAAGATTTTAATCCTTAAGGCTGATACAATCAGAAGAGATTGCACAAGAGAAATTTCTCTAATTTTGGTGTAAATTTTATGTTGTAAAATACACTACTGCAGCCACTTGCAAATACCAAGGTGTCAGTTGTATAAGATATGCCACTGAGCAGATGACTAAAGTTCAGAAGTGTAATTGATCAAGGAGAATATTTACTGCGGGAGTGCTGTGCTTTCTACAACAAATGTACTCCTGAAAGGTTGTAAGTAAATCAAATGACTATAAATTGAATAATTTAAAAGGCATTAGAGGAGCTTATAACTTAAATAAATCCCTTGTGACTCTTCTAATTTAAGAATCCCTTTGTAAAGCAAGGGATTTATTTTTTTTAATATCAACTTTTTACATATTAAGTTTGTTTAAATTGCAGTACACCTGTACTAGAGAAAAGAAAACAGTAACTGATACAAGGCTTCTGTACATGCTACTCCCTCAGCTTGGAGCTTTTTTTTTTTTTTTTTTTGCGGTACGCGGGCCTCTCACTGTTGTGGCCTCTTCCGTTGCGGAGCAAAGGCTCCGGATGCGCAGGCTCAGCGACCATGGCTCACGGGCCCAGCCGCTCTGCGGCATGTGGGATCTTCCCAGACCAGGGCACGAACCTGTGTCCCCTGCATTGGCAGGCAGACCCCCAACCACTGCGCCACCAGGGAAGCCCCAGCTTGGAGCTTTTTAACTGTTGTGTCAAGGATTGGGCAGAGGGATGCTGAGCTACGGGTTCTCTCAGCCCAGTGCATTCTCACCTTCTGGAGAGTCCAGTGGTCTGGGTCATCCTTTCAAGAGCAGACTTACCTGTTTATGCTCATTTACTCCAGTGAGCAATACAATGATTTTCTATTTGAAAAGGTCAGAAACACAACTCTAAACTCCATCTATTAACCTTTTTATCAACCTTAAAAGCTTTCCCTGATCTCCAATGTAATTTTTTTTCTTTTTGTACCCTGTTCTTTTCTTTACAACAGTCATCTAAGTTTGTAATTCTATCACCTGTGCACTTCCTTGTTTAACATCTGCCTCCCTCACTAAACTATAAGCATTGACAATGTGAGATTTCCTCACCACAGTTTACTCAATACCTAGCACAGTGTCTGGCACATAATAAGCATTTACTCAGTGTTGACCAAGGAAATAAATGAGTAAGAAAATGTTTAAATGGATGGAAATTAGCCAACTCCCATTCACTTAGAGTTCTTTGGAAATGACCCCATCTGATCTAGCTCTGAGCTCTCCCTCCAACTTCCTTCCTCTCTTCATCTTTCTCAGTCTGCTTCAGCCACACTGGCTGCTGGCTGATCCTTGAACATGCTAATCACTTGCTGTTTCCTCCACCTGGTGCGCTCTTCCCATTCCAGTGTCACTCTAATGGCTTAATCGTTCTCATCATTGTAGTCTCTACACAATCACACTTCCTCTGAGAGGCCTTCCTGGACTCCCAATTTAAAATATCAGCTCCAAATGTATATTCTCATTGAATGCTTGTATCACTCAGCATCATGGGTTTTTTACTTTTTTTAATTAGTTTTTATTGGAGTAGAGTTGCTTTACAATGTTGTGTTAGTTTCTGCCGTGCAGCAAAGTGAATCAGTTACATGTATACGTATATCCACTTTTTTTTAGATTTCTTTCCCATTTAGGTCACCACAGAGCATTGAGTAGAGTTCCCTGTGCTATACAGTAGGGTCTCACTAGTTATCTATTTTATACATTGTGGTACATATATGTCAATCCCAATCTCCCATTCATTCCACCCCCCCTTTCCCCCCTTGGTAACCAGTAGTTTGTTATATGAAATTATAGAAAAACAAAGCAAATCTATGAAACAGAAAGCAGATCGGTGTTTGCTAAGGGCAGAGCAGGTGAGGAAGAAGAATGTTGAAAAGGATCATGAGGGAACTTTGGGAGTTATGGAATTGTCTTCCACCTTGACTGTGTCAGTGGTTGCATAGCCATAGACATTTGTCAAAACTCATTGAACTGTACCATTAAAATGGATGTATGTCCACTCCTGGATATATATCCAAAGAAAATGGAAACACTAATTAGAAAAGACACATGTACCCCAATGTTCGTGGCAGCTTTATTTATAATTGCCAAGGTATGGAAACAACCTAGGTGTCCATCAGGAGATGGTTGGATAAAGAAGATATGGTGTTTGTGTGTGTGTGTGTGTGTGTGTGTGTGTGTGTGTGTGTGTGAGATGGAATATTACTCAGCCATAAAAAAAGAATGAAGTTTTGCCACTTGCAACAACCAGATGGACTTAGAGGGTATTACACTAAGTGAAATAAGTCAGACAGAGAAGGACAAATTCTGTATGATGTCACTTATATGTGGAATCTAAAAAATACAACAAACTAATAAATATAACAAGAAAGAAACAGACTCATAAATATAGAGAACAAACTAGTGATTACCAATGGGGAAAGGGAAGGGGGGAGGGGCAAGATAGGAGTAGAGGATTAAGAGGTACAAACTACTATGTATAAAATAAATCAGCTACAGGATATATTGTACAGCACAGGGAATATAGCCACTTTTTATAATAACTATAAACGGAGTATAACCTTTAAAAATTGTGAATCACTGTGTTGTACACCTAAAACTTATATAATATTGTACATCAACTATACCTGAATAAAAAATTTTTTTTAATTAGTTTAAAAAATTGGGCTTCCCTGGTGACGCAGTGGTTGAGAGTCCACCTGCCAATGCAGGGGACACGGGTTCGTGCCCCGGTCCGGGAAGATCCCACATGCCGCAGAGCGGCTGGGCCCGTGAACCATGGCCACTGAGCCTGCGCGTCCGGAGCCTGTGCTCGGCGACGGGAGAGGCCACAGCAGTGAGAGGCCCGTGCAAAAAATAAAATAAAATAAAATAAAATAAAATAAAATATCAGCTCCCAACACATTGCCTTACACTTCTGTCTCCATGGTGCTCCTCACTGAACTGTATATATCTATTTGCGTTTTTATGGACTCTCCCAGCTGTTCAATGTAGGGTTCAGAAGGTCAAGCACGTTGCCTGTCTTGTTCATCATAGTATGAATACAAACCGTGAAGGGCACAAAGAAGATAAATAGTTTTGACAGAAGAAAGAAATACATTCTTTTCTTTTTCTTTCTGTTTTGTTGTTGCTAGTCATTTTAATATTATGCCCTAATCATTGCTTGTGATAATAAAAATTTAATTTAACCTTAGAATAACTTTATGAAGTACTTTAATCATAATAGCTTAATGTTTACTTATTTGTATGTTTAAAATGGCATTGTCCTATAATATCAGAGAATATATCTTTGATGACCTGAAAAATACAAGAAATTGGAGTCATATCTTCATCACCTACAGCCCAGTATGGAAGACATATTTGTTGAATTTCATACCAACTCACTTTGCCTTTCAGTAATGCTAATAGACCATCTATAATGAGAGGAAAATATTATAAGCCTGTGGTTCCCACATTTTTGAGGATTCACTATAATTTATTTGATTTTGTTATCACCTTCTTTGACGTTCTACTTTATACAAATCAGTAATTTTAATTATAAAATTAAGTGTAATTTCCTTTGAATGTTTTGTGAGACCTTAGTATTTCAAAACACAAAAACAAATAAAATTTTAAAAATAAATCTTAGGAAATTTTATTGATTTTGGTGACATAGACAACCAGTATTTTATAATGAAGACTTTTTCACTTAAAGCTTATATTGGAATTGTTTATAATAATGTCTGTGTCTTTGGCTTCATAGGTATTTGACTATGACTTTGGACTACAGGATGACTTTATGGGCTCAGCCTTTCTGGATCTCACACAATTGGAGTTAAACAGGTAACTTTTGAACTGTTGTAATATCACTATACCTTTTTATGAAACTGGGCCTATGTAACAGAAAATGTCAACAGATCTGGGTTCTAGTCACTGTTCTGTCATTTATGGTTGTGAGTCTTTGTGCTAGCCAGACTTTCTCAAGTATGTCTTTCTTACTTACCTGGTGGAAATAATACTTAGCACCTTCCCTCACTATCTCATTCGACAACAACTATTCAGCAGAAAAATTCTTTTTTTTTTTTTGGCCACGCCATGCAGAATGAGGGATTTCAGTTACCTAACCAGGGATGCAACCCATACCCCCTGCAGTGGAAGCACGGAGTCCTAACCACCGGACCTGGACTGCCAGGGAAGTCCCCAGCAGAAAAATTCTTAAGACACTTTCTTTGTCCCCCAGACTGTGCTGAGCACCAGGAATCTAGATTAAGACACGTTCCTTGCTCTCACATTGATGGTATGATTATAGTGGGGCATAAAGAAGATGATACGTGTTAATCATAATTAGTAATTTAAGAATGAGGCCATCACATAGGAAATAAGATGAGTACACTATGCATCGAAAATAGCAGCACTCTTATCACTTAAGCCGAAGTAGAATCTAATTTTGCCATCATCAGTAATCCTAGGTTACCGAGGAGTAGCCCGAAAGTGGAGGCAGATTGGTTGTATTTACTCATTTACATTAACTCATCATTGCTTGCTAGTTGTAAAGTAATGATTAGTTATAACTAAATTAATGTTATAAATATTAACCATTCCTTGAACCAAATTATGGGCTTTTTTTTTAATGTATTTCAACATAGGAGCTAAGAATTGATTAATACTACAGAAGAAAAAATAGGTTTTAAAAGGTTCAGCAGTGGGGCTTCCTGGTGGCGCAGTGGTTGAGAGTCTGCTTGCCGATGCAGGGGACACGGGTTCGTTTCCTGGTCCGGGAAGATCCCACATGCCGCGGAGCGGCTGGGCCCGTGAGCCATGGCTGCTGAGCCTGCGCGTCCGGGGCCTGCGTGTCCAGAGCCTGTGCTCCGCAAAGGGAGAGGCCACAACAGTGAGAGGCCCGCGTACCAAAAAAAAAAAAAAAAAAGGTCCAGTAGTGCTGGAATGGATTGCAAAGGAGGCTGCCAAATCATCTTTGGTGGTTTTAAAGAGATGGTTTACATCAGGGGTCCCAACCCCTGTTAGGAGCCGGGCTGCAGAGCAGGAGGGGAGCAGCAGGCGAGCGAGCAAAGCTTCATCTGTATTTACAGCCGCTCCCGTCACTCGCATTACGGCCTGAGCTCTGCCTCCTGTCAGATCAGCAGCATTAGATTCTCATAGGAGCGCGAACCCTACTGTGAACTGCACTTGCGAGGAATCTAGGTTGCACAGTTGCGTGCTCCTTATAAGAATCTAATGCCTGATGATCTGAGGTTGAGCTGTGGCGGTGATGCTAGCTCTGGGGAGTGGCTGCAAATACAGATTATCATTAGCAGAGAGGTTTGACTGCACAGAGACCATAATAAATCCATTGCTTGCAGACTCATGAAGCTGCTGTATAGCACAGGGAGATCAGCTCTGTGCTTTTTTTTTTTAATAAATTTATTTATTTATTTGTTTATTTTTGGCTGTATTGGGTCTTCATTGCTGTGGGCGGGCTTTCTCTAGTTCTGGCGAGTGGAGGCTACTCTTTGTGGTAGTGCACAGGCTTCTCATTGCAGTGGCTTCTCTTGTTGTGGAGCACAGGCTCTAGGTGCACAGGCTTCAGTAGTTGTGGCACATGGGCTCAGTAGTTGTGGCTCACGGGCTCTAGAGCACAGGCTCAGTAGTTGTGGCACACAGGTTTACTTGCTCCGCAGCATGTGGGATCTTCCCGGACTAGGGCTCAAACCTGTGTCCCCTGCATTGGCAGGCAGATTCTTAACAAGTACACCACCAGGGAAGCCCCTCAGCTCGGTGCTTTGTGACGACCTAAAGGGGTGGGATGGGGAGGGAGAGAGGGAGGCTCATGAGGGAGGAGATATAGGTATACATATAGCTGATTCACTTTGTTGTACAGCAGAAACTAACAGAACATTGTAAAGCAATTATAATCCAATAAAGATGTAAAAAAAAAACAAAACCTATCAGTGAGTGGCAAGTGAAAACAAGCTCAGGACTCCCACCGATTCTGCATTATGGTGAGTTGTATAATTGTTTCATTATATATTACAATGTAGTAATAATAGAAATAAAGTGCACAATAAATGTAATGCACTTGAATCATCCTGAAACCATCCCCCACCCCCCAATCCCCAGTCTGTGGAAAAATTGTCTTCCAGGAAACTGGTCCCTGGTGTCAAAAACGTTGGGGACCGCTGGTTTAGATGATCATGTTATATCATGTGGCAGGAATAGTGGAAAGCAGAGTAATGGGTCAGATCACAACTTTATATTTTAAATGTAGTTGAAATATAAATAGTAGAACTCCTTATATGTTGTAGTCTGAGCACAGTGGCAGCTTATTGGTGGTCTTCCAATGGTCATCTGTGCCTCAGACTGGACAAAAGAGTGGCCTTTTCTATACTTCCTATGTGTCCTTCATTCCAACCCAGAGCCTAGCAGGCCTGACCTTGGGGTGATTGCTTGCTCCCCGCCTCATCATGGCGGAAGGAAGTCCTAGGTGGTGTTGTATGTGGTCCGTTATCATGAAACTGAGCTCCAGCTAGACTGGGCTGTGCTGTTCTTCGTAAAGGCCACGGTTATTTTCTCTGTAGATTCTGCATAAGGGTATGCAAATTACTAGGTTTAATCACAGAGCATAACTTTCTCTTTTTCTCTATTAAAGATAGATTACTGGTGAAAAATAATTTTAAATGGAAAAAAACATATGAGATGGGTAAAAAACCCAAAAGATTATGTATAAGCATTTGGTGTTTATTTTACCACATTACTTATTTTATGTATTTAGCTAACTATACCCTCCCCTCAAAACCACATAAACATCAAATTACCGCTTTTGAAAATCACATATTGGGCTTCCCTGGTGGCGCAGTGGTTGAGAGTCCGCCTGCCGATGCAGGGGACACGGGTTCGTGCCCCGGTCTGGGAAGATCCCACATGCTGCGGAGCAGCTGGGCCCGTGAGCCATGGCCGCTGAGCCTGCGCGTCCGGAGCCTGTGCTCCGCAACGGGAGAGGCCACAACAGTGAGGGGCCCGCGTACCGAAAAAAAAAAAAAAAAAGAAAATCACATATTTGTGTATGCCATTACATTCTATGTATAGAAGTCAACATGGGAATTCCCTGGCAGTCCAGTGGTTAGGACTCCGCACTTTCACTGCCAAGGGCCTGGGTTCTGGGTTCAATCCCTGGTTGGGGAACTAAGATCCCATAAGCCATGCAGTGGGACCGGAAAAAAAAAAAAGAAATCAGTACCCTCTGGATGTAGACAGATGGATAATAATAGTAGCCGTATAAATCCTTACGCTACTATATAATGCATGAAGGTATTGCTTTTGAAAAAAATAATAAATAAGCATCATAAAGAATTACAAATTTCTTAAATCTTTATCATGTCATCATTATAAAAATGTAATGAAGTTTTGGCTATTAATTTTTATATTTAATCATTTTTACAGGAAAATGAACCAAATCAAATTGTAACCCCATATAAATACATATGTGTGTATGTGTGTGTATGTACATATATATATACATATATACTATAATGCCTAATATGCATTTGTTAAAATAAAAGGAACACGTTGTTATCATCAAACCACTATGATTAGTTATAACTAATCATAATTAATCCATAATTAATATTGGAGCAATTTGCATCACAACTATTGTAACTTATGTATATTATCAGTTTGATAGGTTACTTATGTTTCAATTAAAACCCCTGACATCAAAAAACTGTTCATATTTTTCATAACACCATTTCTTGAATTGGTAAATTAAGCATCATTTGAAAGAGTGTCCTAGTATTGTAAAATCTTAGCATTGAAAGGTACCTGTGGTTCCCCCAAATTATTTGGGGACATTTATAAATGCATAGATTTCCAGACACCACCCACAATCTACAGAACCAGAATCATTATGGATAGAGTGCAGGATTATGCACTTTTTAAAAGCTTCCCAGTTGATTCTGAGGTGCAGCCAGGATGGAAAGTTTTTATTTGGACCACTTTCCCCATCAAGCCATCTCCCCAGTACTAGAATCCAACAGTATCATTTACTAAATGTTAAGCTCCATGAAGACAAGTGTCTTATCTTTGGTCTTGACTGCTGGTTTTTACCCAGAACCTAGTATCACATATGTTCAATTCATGTTTTGTGAATTAAATGAATAAATGATTGAACAGGCAAGGGAACATTCCTAATTTGTCAACATTTCAGGATTCAAGTGTGGTGCTGAATGTTCCACAGTCCCTTAGGCTTGTAGAGGGCATGAACCCCTATTTGTTCAATATTAATTGAAATATGTAAACAAGATATTACGTACACATTATCAGCTGAATGTGTATTTTACATTATTTTCTAAAAGCTACTGTGGGTAATATTGAGCAATTCATAATCTCTTCCTCAGAGATACTTATCTAATTCTGAAGCCTTCTAAGTATTGATCACCTCTTCTAAGTGCTGGTTTCCTTGCATTTCTGAATCTAAAAAGTTAGGCATAGGTTTAAATAGCCAAAAATAGAAGCATTATTTTAAATAGTAGAAGTTCTTCAAATAACTATACGTTGTTTTTTAAGTATATTTATAATGTATATCAGGCAATTTATATTTTATATTTTTCTCTTCTTCCACTTGTTTATTTACTCTAAATCATACTTCTGATTAAGAAAAAAAAATCTTAAAGAACTAAAAGGATGGTAGTGGTCAGTAAAAGACCGTCATTGAGTTGTTGGACTCAAATTTATAGAAAATAGCTGCTATTGCTCTCTGTGTATTTAGAGATCACAGAGAAGGGCCTTACAATTTTCTTCATACTGCTGTACTTCCGTAGCCTTTCCAGCAACCTCACAGCCTTTCTAGAACCCCGTGAAGAGCTGAAACTTAGGCAGTGAATCCAAGTATACCCAATTGTCCCATGATTTATTGGATAACTTAATACATTGATGTTATTTTAATAACAACAAAAATTGTACCAGGAAATTAAAGGAAGACAAAATTCCTTTTCTTCTTAAAAATATATAGTATATATAAGTCCATGCACCCTCTCACTTTGTCCCAACTTACCCTTCCCCCTCCCTGTGTCCTCAAGTCCATTCTCTATGTCTGTATCTTTATTCCTGTCCTGCTCCTAGGTTCTTCAGAACCATTTTTTTTTAGATTCCATATATATGTGTTAGCATACGGTATTTATTTTTCTCTTTCTGACTTACTTCATTCTGTGTGACAGACTCTAGGTCCATTCACCTCACTACAAATAACTCAGTTTCGGTGCTTTGTGACCACCTAGAGGGGTGGGATAGGAAGGGTGGGAGGGAGATGCAAGAGGGAGGGGATATGGGGATATATGTATACATATAGCTGATTCACTTTGTTATACAGCAGAAACTAACACACCATTGTAAAGCAATTATACTCCAATAAAGATGTTAAAAATATATATATATATAGGGAGGATGGGAGGGAGGGAGACGCAAGAGGGAAGAGATATGGTAACATATGTATATGTATAACTGATTCACTTTGTTATAAAACAGAAACTAATACACCATTGTAAAGCAATTATACCCCAATAAAGATGTTAATATATATATATATATAGTATATATTTTTGCTTATTCATTTAATGACAGTTCAAAATCTTTTTTTTTATTTTATATATTTATTTTTTATTGAAGCATAGTTGACATACAGTACTGGTCTCAGGTATACAACATTGTGGCTCTGACAATTATAGACATTACAAAATGATCTCAATAAGTCTAGTAACCATCTGTCACCATACAAAGTTATTACAACATTGTTGGCTATATTCTCTATGCTGTACATTATATCCCTGTGTATTCATTTTATGACTGGAAGTTTATGCCTCTTAATTCCCTTCACCTATTTAGCCCATTCCCCCACTCCCCTCCCTTCTGGCAACAGTTTGTTCTGTGTATCCATGAGTCTGTTTCTGCTTTGTTTAGTTTTTTCATTTGTTTTGATTTTTAGATTTGACATATAAGTGAAATCATATGCTATCTGTCTTGGTCTGGCTTATTGCACTTAGCATGATACCCTCCAGGTCCATCTGTATTGTTGCAAATGGCAAGATTTCACTCTCTTTTTATGGCTGAGTAATATTCCTTTGTGTGTGTGTGTGTGTGTGTGTGTGTATATACATATATAGATATATATACACATAAATACCACATCTTTTTTATCCTTTCATCTATCAGTGGATACTTTGGTTGTTTCCATATCTTGGCTATTGTAAATAATGCTACAATAAACATAGGGGTGCATGTATCTCTTCCAATTGCTGTTTTTGTTTCCTTTGGATAGATACCCAGGAGTAGAATTGCTGGATCATATGATAGTTCTATTTTTAATTTTTTGAGGCACCTCAGTATCATTTTCCATAGTGGCTGCACCAATTTAAATTCCCACTAACAGTATACAGGTGTTCCTTTTTCTCCACAACCTCACGAACACTTATTGTTTGTTGCTTTTTTGATAATCACCATTCTGACAGGTGTGAGGTGACAATATTGTGGTTTTGATTTGCATTTCCCTGATAATTAGTGATTTTGAGCATCTTTTTATGTGTCTGTTGGCCATCTGCATGTCTTTCTTGGAAACATGTTTATCCATTTTTAAATCAAATTGCTTGTTTTTTTGATACTGAGTTGTATGAGTTCTTTATATATTTTGGGTATTAAACCCTTATTGGATATATCATTTGCAACTATCTTTTCTCATTCAGTAGTTTTGTCGATGGTTTCCTTCATGCTCAAAATCTTAATATTTTATATCATAGGCCCACGGATGTGACCGTCACACTGAAAGATCCCCACTATCCTGACCATGATCTTGGAATCATTTTGCTCTCAGTCGTCCTTACCCCTAAGGAAGGAGAACACAGGGATGTGGTAAGTTCCCCCTCAGCCTAGTTGTAGCTTTCTTGCTCTCACTTGTTTGAATGTCGTGAGCCTTCTCTGAACCCAGAGGTAATATTAAAGAGAAACAGCATAAGAAGATCTGGCCTGTTCTTTGTTTCTGTGAGTATCCTGGGTATCAGTAGTCTAGTTGTATTGTATTTTTTGAATTCAAATTTCCTATTTTATTCTCCGGATCAGAACCTCTTATAAATAAGGGATACGTTTGCATCTTTTATCATTATTTTATTTTCCAGTTTCAGACTGTTATTTGTAGCAAATGGTGGTATTTATTCAGAGATTATATTTTTCCACATTGAGGTGTCCAGACCTTACTATTTTGATTATATTGTCAGATGTACCATAACAAAGAAAATGAGGTGAAATTACAATAGAGTTTCTGCTTTCTGGTATTTGTTTGATGAATGATTAGTGAGTACTTTTCATCTTCTTGATGGACTTCCATATCGGTGTTACCCATTTTCCAGCCCTGGCTGTCTGTACTTCCTTGCACACCATGCTGCTATGAGAAACTGACAAGGGATACAGAGGAGCTAATTACTCCAGCACTGTTGAAGTGACGTTAAAAAATATCAGGTTTGACCTGCATCGGTATGCTTGCCAGTGCACTTTCTGCCACAATTTACCAGAATTTATTTATTAGACTCAGGGTACTTTCACATACTGGTAGCTATTCTCACTAGTTCTGATTGCAACACATTTTAGGAGTAGACATAATTTCTTAGGCAAGTTTAAATACTCTATTTCAGCAATGTGTGTATTGCTGGCTTAAAATAATGCATGATTAAAGTTGGTATATTTTTTCTGCTGGAAAGGAATTACTGGCATTTTTCCCTAGATTGTAAATAAAAATAGTGAATTACAACTTCAAATTTGGAAGTGTTTTAAACTCATTGAAAAATTCACCCTTTTCAAGGTATTTTTCTCTATCCTTTAAAAAAATTAAACAACGAGCACATATGTAATATTTGCAAAGAATGATTTAAGTATCTATATTTCATTCAGTGAGGAAGAAAATTTTCTTTTCGAACAAGTACTATGAAATAATACCTACTCGGAGAACTTAGCACTGTAAAAGAATGTATGTATGTGCACAGGCATAGGCCCATATGCGCAGATGGAAGGGTGTGTGAGGACATTTTTTCACAGAGAACATTTAGAAATAAAAGCCCATCATTTTAAAAGTCACCAATTCAGAATATATTATTTCACCCAGTGCAAGCCAAGGAGTATATGCTAGCTGGCTAATCCATACACAGGAATAAAGTATAAGTGTTCATTTATTCAAATAATCCTGGTATTCACGAGGAACCTACTATAAGCCAAATCCTGTGCTAGACCCTTTGGATACAGTAGAACTGAAATCCAGTGGAGAGCTCAGAAATCAAATAATCATGGAAGGAAATGTAAAATGACAACTGTTTTAAGTGCCATAAAAGAGAGGTGCATGCTGCTGTAGAGCAAATATAGGAGAATTTGTTCTAGTTGGGAACAGGAATTCTCCAAGGAAGTCAAATGGGAGATGAGGTCTGAAGTGTGAATAGAAGTTGATAAAGGCAAAAACACAGGAAGAGAGGAAATATTTCAAGCAGAGGAAATAGCACATGCGAAGGCCCTGTGGCTAGAGAAACCAAGCTGCACTCCAAGAATTGAAAAAGTACTGGAGCTTGGAGAAGGTGGAAGCAAGCAGAGTGTGAAAGATCCTGGTGCATGATGACAGTGAAAGGGAGACTCCCAGACTGCATAGGGACTGTTGGCCATGTTAAGGTTTGTGGTCTTTCCCCAAAGAGCAATGGGAAGCCTTTGAAAAGTCTGTAAATAGGAAGTGGCATCATTTTATTTGCCTTTTGTTGTGTAGCTGCATTGTAGAAAACAGATGAAAGTATAAGAATGAATGCTTGGAGACCAACTAGGAGCTATTTTGAAAATCCTGGTGGAAGATGATGGAGATTTGGATTAGAATTGTCAAGAGGTAGAGATGAAAAGAAATGAAGAAGTTTATCTATAGGAGGTAAAATCAACAAAACTTGGTGATAGAATATTTGGGGGGGGGATCCTTTGTTATTTTGATGAAGGAAAACACCATAAATGAAAATACCTAAAGTGCCTGAGGTCTTAGGAAGTGTCTCCAAACCATCCAAACTGCCAGTTTTACTGGGGATTCAAATGATATGGCAGCTGTTTTAGTTATTTGGGTGATTTGATGATGGAGGGTCTGCTGATTTTTTACATTAAAAGCATATTTATTAAATACTCTAACATCAAACTGAGGGTTTGAGGGATTAAGTTAGTATCAAGAGACTTCATGACAAGGCTGCTGAGTTGTTCTAAATTACACAGAAATATATGTCAGCACAGGCAAAGTAGTTCCTGACATTCGTTTTTCTTCAACCATTCTTGCAAAAACCCTTCAATCTCCACTGCTGTTCAAACTTATTTAGGCATGCTGTCTTTCTAATTAGAAAAGATCATTTAAAAATATTATAGTGTCTGGTCACGGGTCATCAGTGATTTATCAAACACGAATAGGAACAAAAACAGGTTACATGAAACAGTTACACATCAAAAATCTGGTATTATTAATCTTCTTTTCTTCCTTTTTCTTTCTCCTTATCATATCTCTCCAGCCACATTCACCCTTAACACAAAGAGTTCTTCCTGAAATCTTCATGCCATTTTCTTGGTTCAGATTTCGTTGGCTACCCCAGCTTTTTGGAAAAAAATCTTTTACTGCTGAGTATTTTTCATTTGCTTGCCTTACTTCATGACTCCCCCTTCACAGTCCCAAATAGCACTGGATTGATTCTGCTGCAGCAACTGAAAACCGGTGTCTTCTTCCTTCCCATGTTGGACTCTCACCTGGCTTCTCTCTTCTTCACCAGAGAAGCAAGTGGCTTATCAGGGGCCAGTGCCTCAGAAAAGGTACAGCAGTTTGCCTCTGGCTGGCGAGCTCTCTTGACTTCAGCCACAACTGAGAAGCAGTGAGAAGAGTGACCAGTGTGGCTATACTGGCTCCTCCTTGTGGACGTGATCAATAACTGGGAGCCTGGGGTTGGTTGTTGACAAGCAGCTGGGGCAGGGACAGGGGAGGAAGCATGAAAGGTCCCCTACAGGAAATTCTGTTGGGACCCCCAGTATCCTGGCTAATCGGATTCCTAGATTGGGATTGGGGCTTCTAAGCATATACTTTACATGATGAAAATTTCTAACAAAGACATAAATTTGTGCTTTTCCCCCTTTGTTTATTTCAGTCTATATAGCAGTTCTAGAGCTGTTTATTAATTAAGATCTCTAAAATTGGCAAGTGACACTAGTTAGGAGAGTTTGACACTCTGAATAAGAGATGCCAGTTGTAGGCATCTATTGAAAAAAAACCACTTATTGAGCATCTATAAGCATTGTACCAAGTTCTGTAACTCCCTCTTTATTCTTCTTCTAAGTGTTCAGTGACCTGTGGTTATTTCTCTAATGAAATGGAAACTCCTGATGAAGGGCTTTAAGACTCTCCAATGAGCGACATATATTCCCTCACTTGTAACCTTTATCCCAGCCATACAGACTCCTACACAGCTCACCTCCTCTCAAGTCCAAGCTTTCTCCAATGTGACCTTTCCTACCTAAAATATACCTGTACTGTACCTCACCTCACTTCTGTCCTATAGCCCATCACTCCTGGTTAAAAATAATAATAATTCATTAATATTTATATATATATAGATTATTGCTTCTGATTACCTTTCTTATGATGACTCCTCTCAAAACCTGGTCCAGCTTTCTGTACCTAGTGGTTATTCAGTAGGCTGTGGATGAATCTCTAAGAGGATTCTTAGAGAATGCTTGATGGGATGCTTCAAAGGTCCAGGGAAAGGTATTTTAAGTTTCCTTCTCACTTCCGTATTCAAATCCCTGAGGTTGTCACAAACAATATTGGAGATAATGATTTAATTTTCCTATTGAATTCTTAAAATTATTCTATTAATGATAATCTGATTAAAATCAGTCTATATTGCTCTTCTCAAGATTTCTAATGATGACAATGAATTAGAAGCACATCACTGTATTTTTTTCTTTTGGTAACGTGTCTAGTATTGGCTAAATATATTTCCCTGGAATACATTTGAAATTTCTTGGCTAAAAACAGTCAATTATCCAATGTATCTTCAAATTAAATTTTTATATGCCAGAAATATATAACATATTGCTGCTGTGAAAATGACATGCTGAACTTCCACAAATTATCCAAGAACAAATCTTATTTAGAGAAATTCAGACTCATAATGCAGCAAACCAGAAATCAGTTACTAAATGCTTCACAAGTCCACTTACTATTCAGAATGACATATAGAGAAGGAATAGAGGATGATTTTGCATTGACCTTCACACAGCAAAATTATGAGTTCTGTTCTCTTTGATTATTAGCTCAGAAATAACCTATTTTAAGCTTTTGGGACTTAAGACTTTAGTTCAGAAAAGCACATGTTTATTCTTATGCCTGCGTTTTGTAGACTTTGCTAAATATTTTTTGTGGATTAACATGGAGAATGGATGATATGAATTTCAAGAGCCATTGACAAATAAATCCTAACCATCAAGTAGGAAATAGAACATTAATGTTAAGAAATGCTATCAAAAGTGGGAAGAAATGAGTAACTGGAAATACAGAGGGCTTAGCATCACAAAGTGCTAAGAGTTCTAAATCAATTATCTTGTGAGTGTTTAAAACTGTTAATACTGACAACGTGTTCCATGAATCATGTGGTTGGGATGATTTCTCCTTGTGTGGATTGCCAGTTCTAGAACTCAGTAAAAATGAAGAACAAGTTGAAAACCCTATCAGCCTACTGTATCTACTAAAGTCCCTCAAACATGGAACATCTAATTATAGCTAATTAAGAAGTAAATAGGAGTCATAGTAAAAGTATTTCATAGTTGCTTATATTAAAATATTCTCCATTGAGTCATGATTGAGTCTTTTTTAAAAGATTCCAGATGTGGACAGATATATATATTTTTTAATTTTCAGCGTTGTATGTATGAGAAACCAAAATCTTCTTGGGGGGGCATGTTGATGACTTGCATGACACAACTGTCATTTCTGTTTTGAATGCATGCCCTGTTTGATCCTGCAAAAGTGTGTAGTGCATATATGTGTGTCCTATATTTATGGTATTTTGGTCTGATAGTGTGTTTGAGTTCTTTCTGGCTCTTTTTCTAGCAGAGTTCAATCCACAGCTTTCTTCATTGGAGGATTTATGAAATAAAAGTGAGTTAATTTGTGTTACACACTCTCTTAGATAACCTAGACCTAACAAATTGCTTGGCTAAAGCTAAAAAGTAAAAACTTTTAAGAAACATATGAATTAACCTCAGTTGATCTTTAGTGAATTCAAAAAATATATTTTTCTCTATGGTTTATTTTTGAAAAATTTCTGAATTATTCCATAAGCTAACATTTGAAAAAATATCCACCTATAAACAGTTAATATATATGTTTTATAATATGTATCTACCATAGTATTTAGCCATTCTGTGATTTTTTTTTTATATCTATAGTAGTCATGTAATTGCCTAAAAAAAAAATCAGTGCAACAAAAGGGAAAAGCAAAAAATGGATTGAGATTGTGGAATCTTTTAAAAACATAATCAGTTCTGCAGCTCAAAGGCCATATTTTTATGCTACTTATTCCATTTTTTGGGCTTCAAAGAAAGTTGAGTTGCTAATAAAGAATTTGAAGGTACTATAATATTAGATAATGACACTTTCAAAAACAAATTCATATGTTTCTCAGCTGAAGTTAAGATCAAATAGCAAAAAATAAATCTTATTTTTCTATAATTTGCTTCATCTCCTATGTTTAACATTCCCCAATCTTTCTTCTCTAAGTGTCCCACAGTTAGTAAAGGTAACAATGTTAACAGCATGTCTGTTAAATTCACTTTTTAGAAAACTTTTATACTGATTCCAGTTTTACTGAATCTACTTTAACCCTAGAAACCCAGTTTCCTAGAAACTGAACCAGGAAAATAATGAATTGGTCCCTGTAACTGCCAAATCTTTCATACTGGTACGTAGGGAAATTACTGACCTTTTGTTTGTATCAGTGTCCCAATCTGAAAAATAATACCATGCATCTTGTTTGTAAGACTGATTTTGAAAGACAGGAAAATACCACCCCTATAGTTTGCCTTACATGTAGAAGGTTAATCGCTTGCAGTAGTTTTGAGTGGGGGGATGTGGCTTTGACCAGCAGTAGTGAATCTGTGTAATATTGAATAGTGTTGCCCTGAGAGTCAACTCTTCCTCATGTTCTTAGCCCCTTTTTCATCGTAGCATTTCTTACCAAATGGAACTCTGTAAGATTCTTTGATACTAGTTGATGATGATAAATGGCCATGACTTAAGAGATTTTCCTTTTTGATTTACTTATGTTAATTGTTCTCACCTGATTTGACTCAGAACATTGTCCCTAGGAATTATCATTCTTTGTTCACTGAAACTCTGCTTTCTGAGAAAGTTGAAAATTTATTGCCTGACTCTTCACGGGGCGGTTTTTATGAACATGGCATACGACAAAAGTATTTCGTGTCCGATTGCCTTTTAGTGATGAGAAAGTGGTGGTGGTGGTGGTGATGACGACGACTAACTCATTTAACATCAACAACGAACATCTATTAAATGTTCATCTCCCCAACCCGATGGTGGGTTTTGCTTCAGAATAAATTGGACATTAGTACTTAGAAAAAATATAAAATAATACTTTGCAGTTCCTGACTCCATTTGAAAAAAATTGGGAACTGTTGTAACCTTAGGAAGTCTATTTCTCTTCCATATTTTGGTCAATATCTAACACAGAGTGTATATAGAGAAAACGTAACCTATAAAACCACTATCAGCAGAAAAGAGGAATGTATCCTTAACCTTGACAATTTTATGATATTTCTCCTTTCCCCTTCTAGAACCTCTACATAATTCCTTTGTCTTGGTTTAGGCCAAAGGTTGCCTACTAAATGACTTACTCTTATATTAAAATCTTTCCTTTTTTGTATTTTTGTAATTTATGAGTGGTTTCTGAAATGGTCTTGCTTTATAGTGAATTTTGCTGAAGGAGACAGGGTTCTTAAAGGCACGAGTGTACTTCCTTGATATATAAATAGGGCAAGCATTTCTATAAGCTGTATTCTTTGTTCCAGATATTCCCTCATCTGCCTTAAAAGTAATGATAAAGCTAAGAGAGGGTAAAGAGGTTATCAGGAAGTTAATACCTCAGTGTTCATTGAGAATTTTTTTTTAAGCTGGAGAGGAAATTAAAAGTCATTGGATTTTTATGAGTTACTTTATGCAAGAGACCAGTGATCTTGGGCACTCATCGCAAATCTCCATCAACCTTAATTAAAACTTGAAGTCATAAATATCTCTTACTATGACACGAAAAAACTAGTTTAAAGGATATATCATGGCTAAACATTTAGCAGGGAGATCCACTAATAGCCATCACGATATGCAGCACTTTTTCTCATTCGAAAGCATTTGTCAACCCTGATGTAATTAAAGATTAACTGGAAGCGGAGACAGTTCTAAGATGCTGCCAATGCAACAGACTTTGAATGAGTTTGAAGAGAAAAGTTATTATACACCCTGTAAAGTCATGGCACATCATCAGCCTCCACCACCAAAAGTAACAATTGCTAATTGGGAGACTTAGTGTGTTTTTTTCCTATCAACAAGATATTTCAAATTTTCCATTCTATTTAAAATATACTGTCCCATCTCTTTGTACAAAAGAATAAAGGAAATGAACTCTCACCAGAAAGACTGCTTGAGTGTTAAAGGCGCTTCTTCTAGCTGCATGTACGTGAAAAACAATTTTTGTCTTGTATAATTGTTGCTGGAAACCGTTTGCTGTTTAAATGTCAAGCTTCCTCCAGAAAACAATTGGCTGCCCTGTCCTGTACTTGAGTGATAAGATAATGAAAATGCCTTATTTCATTTACAGACGATGCTAATGAGGAAGAGTTGGAAAAGATCAAGCAAGGTAACACTTAGCATGTGATCTTTCAGCTTTTCTTGTTGAGAAGCGCTATCAGCTGCTTTCCCAATCTCTCTCATGCCTCGTTAAACTGTGCCTCAGGATTTCATCACTCTTCAATTGTTTTTTTTTTTCCCCATAAACTTTAAGCAAACCATGTGATGCTTTTTAAGTAAATAGAAATCACACTGATCGATCACATCCAAATCATCCTCTTGCTAATCTCTGGTCACTTCTCAGCATCATTCGCAACATCTGGTTTCTGTTCTCTGTATCACAGGGTCTAGAAAATGCCTTTGCTCCAGATCAGGTATAAAATAATGGCACTAGGGTAGGGACAACTCCAGAGAGAAGGAAGATCCGTGTAATTTACTGTTTTTGTTCACTGAAAACTGAGTCTAAGATTTTCTAAACTCAAAAATCCCTTTATTGCTACATCTTTGGAGTGTATCATGAGAACAATTTTCCATCATTTTCTCTTCTCACTTCAAGAAATAAATAGCTCTTGGGAGTGAGAGGAGTTTATGGATCCTATAACTTACCAAGCTCTGGCTCTTCTTATAACTTGTAAAATATATAAGATATAAACTAAGCTTCTAATTTGTTCAGTGGTGATGCCACTCCTGGACACAAATAAATATCAAGATGAAACTGACTTTTGTATGACTACTCCTTGGAATAAATCAAAGGGATTTTATTTGTGAAAATCTTTTTTGCTCAAATTTCTATTTTTAAAAGTTGGTATTCCTTTTGAATAGTGATTCATTTTCTTAGACCCTGGAACATGACAATCTTTTTTCTTCCATTCTGATTGAATCATGCTATTACTTAAATTTTTCTTTGATTTTGTCACTTTCGTTATTGTGAATTAAGAAAATACTTATCAAAATGATTTTTTAGTTATGGTAATGTCTTAATTGCTTTAACAAGTATTTCTTACTGTAAAAACTTTCTTCCCAGTTGTTGTAGAATTAATGACCAAAAGATAATTTGGATCATAGAAAGGTCAGGTCCACGTTAAAAATCACCTTTATCATTTTAATAAAATTAAAAACATTTATTAAGGAAAATTGCTGAATATTTCTGGCTTACTGTTCACTATGTTTTCTACAGCCCAAAATAAAATTTCAACAATCTTAAAGAAATGTTTGCGCTGTTCATATTTGTATTACACTTTTTTCTTTGTAATTGTACTTCAGAATTAGTGTTATATTGAAAGTATATATGTTTAAAAATTCAGGTAATTTGGCTTTCTTCATTCTGTGTCTATCTTATACTATATCTATGTAAAAACATTGTAATCCATTAATATGTAGCAATATCTCTCTTCCAGTTGTAGTTAACATGTAATGCTAGAACAGGATATTATATAGTTTTTAGTATTACTTAGTGGGAATAATCCGTTTTATTGTGAGGTAGAAGAACAAACATAAAGATTCTTCTTTAAATAGTTCATTTAATTTATATTTAAATTTAATTTTAAGGATCAATTAAGTCAACATAAATCCATGTCTTTTCCTTTGATCTACAATAAATAAATACATAAACATCTACTCTTTACTACTTTTATGTCTAAACTTCTTAGAGTTTTTAATTACTAATAATCCAATTGTACATTCAAACTGGTGAATTTTCTAGCTGGCCATTGATGACACAGAATTCCCTGTGTCTAACTGCACTCATTGGGAGATTAATTTTAGTGTACATGGTAATATGGCTTTTGGGTTTTTAGCCTAAGGGATTTTCAGTTTTATAAAGTTTAATGGGGATATTGAATGCTGTGTAGAAAAAAATCATTTGTTTTTTTTTTTCCATTGAGAACATACTGAATACCTGATAATTCATTCAGTTTGTCAATGTCCCCTAAAACATGTGCCGTATTCATCCATATTAGTGTTACAAGAGCAGAGTGTTAAATTCAAAATCCAGGGAAAGTTTGAAATTTCAATTACCACCTAGTCTGCCATCCTTCACATACAATGAGACTGCTCCCCCAATTCTTTCCTCCAGGGATTGAAGGAGGGAGGACAGTGTTCAAGTAAATTGTGCTTCCTGAGAAACTAAGGGATAAATGACTGTACCGTGTAGTTGCGTGTGTTACTGTGTTGTGGAAATGCATCCCTTTTCTAACGATTTCAGCCTTCCCCTTAAAGATTCTTGTGTGATTAAAGATTTTTCCTCTTTTATTTTTGGAAAGAGAATATAATTTATTTGCATGACACTTAAATACAAGTATTTTACATTTGATAGAACTATGCTCAAAGTCAAAGGTGAAGTTTTCATATAAATAGGTCATTTTCTTCTTTGGAATCTTGGTTTCTGGGAATGAGGTCTGCTTTTTTATAGCGGGGCTTCGGTATGCTGCCTGTCTTTGAGCACCCATGGTGAAGGTGAGATCTGAGAATTATACACTTTGTGGCAAAGACTTCAATAGAGTCAGATAGTGTTGTTAGATATTCTCTCCAGTATGGAGTTTTTCTTTGCTTGTTTTTTTCAGAAGTGATATAACCATGGAGCGGGGAAGTGCTTTATTGATATTGTTAGCTTTTTAATATGCACATCTCCCCTGTATACGATTTCATCAGCTCATGGAATTTTCCATTACTTAAATATCTGCTTTTCATTTTCATTGTCTTGCCGATAGCAGATTTTTTCTGCCATGGAAATCTAATCTGTGGCAATCACATAATGTGGGGTTGTATTTACTAATGAAAACAAGAGAGGTGAAGAGCCGACTTGAGGAGTAATTGCTGTTCAGGACAGACTTAGATATTATTTGGAGTAAATGTGTTACCACCTAATAATGAGTAGGAAAAAAATACACCTAAACTTACCCCTGAAAAGGAAGAATGTATAAAGTACATGCTATATTTAAATGGTGTGTTAGCCAGTAAATAATTACGGATTCCATAGTGTTTCCTCTTTTGGGGATAGTAGCATCCTTTAAAACATTCATTCTGGTTTTCCGCAAGCACACTTTCCATTGTGCACATTTCTAATTCTGCCCACACTCAGCTGTTGTAGAAAAATGTTATTTTAAGAAGAAAGGGATCGATGTCTTCATAAACTTGGGCAACTGGATAATTATCCTGGTCAAAGTGTTATACTTAGGTGACAAAATGCATTTTGGCAGAGAAATGATGATGCTTTGAGTTATTGTAATATTTTATTCTTTAGAAGAAGCTTATCATTGATAATTTATTATAAGGCTAAATTATTCAACAAGAAAGTTTCATGAGCTTGGAAGAGAAGGTGTATATGAATTTTGTGAATAAATTCTGTGGGGGTCCAACAAGAAATGGAAAATAAATAATGAAATAATTGCCTCTATAGATGGCAAGCAGAAATGATTTTATACTACATTGTGTGTGTTTTAACATAGAAGAATGAGTTTATCAGTGGGTATGATAATAAACTTATGTGCTTTCAATAAATCACTTTAATTCTATGAGAAGTAACCATTGTGATAATATAAAGACATACACATTGCAATTTCTATTCTCAACAATAACAGTTGAAAATTGTTTTAAAGAGAGTTCATCCTTTGAATAATATAATATGACTATGTGATGACATCTCATTAGCATATCTTCTGTTACTTGATGGCTTATTTTTTTTAGTAATATATCTTTTTTATAAAGATTTTATTTTAATCACTTAGCATAATTTTAATGAACTATAAAATACTTTATTCACTCGTTGAATGAGGCAATTTATAATAAGACTTTTGGCAAGGATATTGTTAATTTAAACTAGAGAATACTCTCAACACTGTAAGTCTGCAGGGCATAGTTAAACCTGACACCTTGGATGACACATTAAAAATGCATCAGTGAAAACCTCTAAGTGTTTTAATTTAAGAAACGGTAGAGAAACAGATTAACACATTTTTAAGTGTCTCACACAGTCAGACATAGTGGGGGAAAAAAGTCATTATTTAACAATTATCATGTCCTTTCTACAAAGACCTCATATCCTGATAATACGTAGATGATGATCTTTAAAAAATTGCAAAAACTCAAAACCTTATTGGTCATTGACTTTCTCAACTGTGAATGACCAAAATGGCTTTTCTTTGATGTCTCATTTCAAATGATTATGCCTATGTATTTGAAAAAATTAGTTGCTTACATGTTTTTGAAGGAAATATAAAATTCTTTTAAAAATTCTTACTATTAATTTTGTCCTCCCAAATTTCTGTTATTTGGAAATGCTATAGAGTCAACCTCATAATTAGGGCTTCTAAGAGTCCACAATGCTGCAATAAACAAAGGGCTAATAGCATGAGCATTTGCATTCTAAAAGACTGTATTTTTACCTCAATTAATTACACTCCTTAAATTTGTAGTAAGTTTATTTAAAATAGAGATAGCTTAATGTCAGTAAATATTTGATTATCCCCTCAAAATACATGGAGCTATAATTAAATTTTATATTGAGATGATTTTTTTCTTGCTGTTTTTACAGGGTTTTCCCATAGGCATAAGATATCATACATTTTTATGTATTGTAATTCATAACTACAGGGATTTCTGTAACAATGGCATTACATTTATTTGACCACTCATGTTGAATTTTTAAAATGTTGTGGGTCCTTTGGGGAGAGAATCTGGATGAGTTGGCACAAAGTGAAAGGACAAAATGTAATCTCAGGCAGAAGATGGATTCCATAATGCCTGCGTGCTAGCTCTAAGATGTTTAATTTGGGGTCATAGACTGGCCTTCACATTGCTAATGTGTGCTACCAAGTCAGCTGATGGTTTCCCAAGACCCTTTCTGGGCTGATCAAAGGGAAGGGAACTAATATAACTTGACTCCAGGATGATGGAGCTAAGGGTTCGTTCACAGATTACATGGCTTTTTAATTCAAAGGTATATATGTATATACATATAATGTATATCAGATATATTTAACACATATATGTATATATGTTAGATATACATATATATATACACATATGTATGTATATATATATGTTAAATTGAGTGTGACCGGGAGGAGATTTATTGGTTTTAAAGCCCCCTAAATGTTTACAATGAAATTAAATCATAATTTTGTAAGGACTGGTTGAAAAGCCCTGGTTGACAGCAATATATACACACATATGCATGTATTTATATATACATATCTACAAACATACACACACATATGAAACACTTAAGGTAAAATTTCTAAAAAAAATAAAAGACAAAGCAAGGCCAGGCTTCAGCCTGGTGGGTCCTCTGGGGAGCTGACCTTGTCTCTCTCCCTTCAACAATATTTGAAAGGACAGTGGGAATTGCAGGGGGATTATATTTATGTTTAATGAGTATAAATGATATGAACATCTATTTGAGGAACCGGAAAATTGTGTTTCGGTGTGCAGTTCTACTTACTTCACATCCCTGTTTTCAATGACGCATCGATAGGCTTAGTCAACTTGACGGAGGCATCTGAGAGCCACAGCTTTGATAACCGGATTGCAGTCTGACCAGGAAAGTCTATGAAAATTATTTACTTATGAATTTATTCATTTTTTACCTCTTAAATGCCCATAGAGGTATTCATAAAAGGAAATTATACACCTATAAAAACATGCTGTGTAATAATACTGCTACCTGGCTTGACTTTGACATTGGAATCTCAGGCTTCACAATTTCCAATCTATTGTGAATGTCTTGAGTGTCATAGAATTGCTGAATTAAAACAACACGCAATGGGTTTAAAGGCCTGTACATATTAAGGCTAACAAAAGATACCACTTTCAATAAAAGTTCAGTGGCTATCCTTGTTTGTCTGATGGCAAAGACATTGAAGATTTCTGTGATTTATTTTACATAGAAGGGTGAAAAATAGCATCATATTCATTTGTTATGGGAAAAAATGGACTGTCCTTTAGTTTTATTTCTCTGAGAAAAAGAATACATGTTCTAGATTTTTTAATTTAAAATCTCATTAACTCTTAGATTGACAGAAGGATTTTTGATCTTTGAGGAGAAATTTTCTTAGTCTGTGTTGGTTTTTTCGAGGCAAAAAATAGATTTAAAAACAATATTACCAGTGGATCTTGCTACTTAATAAATTCAAAACCTCAGCAGAAACAGTTCAACAATTCATCATTCAGAATAACTTCAGTTATTTTCCTTCATCAACTTGATACCTCTGGCTTTCGTTCTGTTTCCATTTGTTGTTACTTTATAATTTTAGCACTTTTAAAATGGCACTTTCCCTCACTTGCCAACCTCTTGTCTTGATGGAGACTGAAGTGTAACTAAATATCTATAATTATAATTTAGGACAAGTCTTCCCTGGGATTCTTGAAGAGTTTATTCTGCTTTTCTTGCCCTCCATATTAAAATCACCACTTTTGTTTAGAACTCATTATCGTAATTCCAGGTGTTTCATTATTATTGTTTTCTGTTATTGTTATTATTAGAAACTCTAGGGAAAAGAAGGCCTTGGCTAGTTTGCTGTGAATTTTATATTTATCAGAGCTATAAATGGCAAAAGCGTCCACAGGAAAATTAACTTGTTTCATTTGAAATAAAGACCTAAATTTACATGACAATATGGGTTGTAAAATGAAATATAAATTTTAGTTAATAATGACAGAAGTAGTTAAACATGGCATGAAAAGCACAGCCTGGGGACTTCAGTGGATCCAAATGTGACTGGTATTTTTGTTTCTCAAATTTTAACAGAGAAATGTAAGTTCTAAATCTTGATAATTAAAATCTCCCCTCCCCGCCGCCAATTCATCAATCTCATTTTGCTCTTTGCATACTAATCACATAATTAGATCATTGCCCTCGGTGTTCATCTGAGGAAGAATGGTGAGTATGGAGTTGGTGCAATTTCAGTATTAGATCACCTTAGACCACCTAAACTTTAAATGAAGTAACAATATTTTTAAATGCTAAATGGTTGTCTTAATTGTTGTAACTGTCAAGTCTAGAGCCAAGACTTTCACATTGATTTAACACATTTTGCAATTGAGAAACATTGAGAAAAAACTCAATGTTAGCTAAATAATTTGTGTTATTGGCTCTGGGGAAATTATTTGTGTAAGGAGCTTTGAGAAATAATTTCTTTCAAATGATACTTTAAAATTTATCCACATTTTGCTAAGCATGCTGCTTAATTAAAAGAGAACTGGGAATCAAGGTAAGAAGAGAATTGGCAGTAGAATAGGAAAAGCTGCATCTTTTCCTAAAGCTAGAATAAGGTTTCTTTGAGTTAAACAGTAGCATAGCATCAAAAAAATTGCAATCATTCCATCTAAGGTTTGTGCCCTCACGTCCAAATGTAAGTGTAGTTTTTTAGAATTTTCTTTTCAGAAACTGATACAACAGTGTGCTAAGTGTGGCAGATGAGAACCATACCTGTAAGGGTAAATGAATTATAACTCTGTAGTGATGGTAAAATCGTGTCTTAAACTCAAGACTTTTTCCCGATGACCCTGACATTAGTATGCTACCTGACCGAACTGTATACAAGTAACTTAGGAAAATGTAACTAGTTTCATTAAGAAATAGATTTCATGTAAAAAGCACAGGTAGATTGCATAGATGATCTCTGATATAATTCTAGCTAAACTTAAATTACTCAAATTGCTGCACACCCTAAAGTACTTTAGTTCGTTATTATTTTCTGATATGATCTTTGGAAGGATCACTTTGAAAGAAATGTATATCCTTAAGCAAATGAAATTCCATGTGACTAACAGTCAATCAAATATTTATTGAGCACCTACTATGCATAATTAAGTATCATGCGAGGTGCTGGACCACTACCATCTTAGTTGCTAACACAAAATCATGGAATAATCAAATAAATTACAAAACGGCTTCCTCTACATCACAGTGTCAAAGGCTGATGCTTTCTCATAACTGTCATCAGTTTCCCATAATATTACCATAACTGACGCCCAGAAACAGGATGCAAAACATGAAAGTTTAAAGGATGCGTGTAATTTAAATGTTCTCTTTAAAAGTGAGTAACTGTGCTTTTGATTTGCTAAAGTTTCACTTTATAAAAGTCTGAGGATTAAGTAATAAAATGTCCAGTATGAATCCATTGCTTTGTTTCCAACTAAATAGCCACCTTTTCTTAGTATTCGTTTATTTTTAACATTATTTTGGGGGAGCTTCAGTTAACTAAGGAATTTATATCTTATATATTAAATGTTATATCATAAAACTAGGAAGTTTTTAGTAAGGAATTAAGCCAAATTTGACTAGGTATATGTTTATAAATAAGATTTCTGTTATCATTCTTTAAAAATGCTCTGAAGGTCTGTGGTATTAAATTTTTTTGTTAAAAGGAACGGATATTATCTGGTTTATTTCAGAATCTTAAAATATGTTTAAGCAGTTCTACTTTTTAAAATAAAATGTTAGACTAAGATATATTAATCAACAGCTAATAAAGAGGTAAGTATATTCTTTTAAAATTACAGAAATAATCCTCTCTAAATTTTACTACCATTGTATCAGATATGAATAAGACAAACTTTAACTGAAATAAAAAAACTGTATTCAAAAAAAGAAAAAACTTAGTTTATAAACATCCAAAGTGTCTTTAGCATATATGATTTTAGGGTTTTCACTTGTCTTAATTTTGCTGAGCCAATCAAGTATTCTCAAAACACCTCAAAATTTAGCTAAATATTTGTTTATTTTTAGGAACTCTCAGAAAACGAAGTGGTTGGATCTTATTTCTCTGTGAAGTCTTTCTTTTGGAGGGTAATGTCTAAATCCTTTATATTTAATGTTCCTGACTTTTGGTTCTGAATAGTTATTTAGAGAGTTAAATGTGAATTAAGAAATTCCCTTTTTAAAATAGGTTCTCAGAGAGATGTATTCATTTGTCTTCTTTATTAAAACTTATTCTAAGTCATTTAGGTGACTCACTCTTCATTTGTAAAAACTAAGAACTTCATATATTTAACATATTGCTTTGAAATCTGTTCCTTGTGGGCCCAAATTTATCCCAGATTCTTAACAATTAGAGGCCCACACATCTTTCAGGAATACGATGGCACTGTCTAGAGGGTCCATAAAGTTTCTTTTTCCCTTCTTGTAAAATCTGTTCCATCTATCTGGGAAAAATTTACTTCTATTACGGTGATCTTGTACCATATACATACTAGATAGTATTTTTGCTTTGGAAAAAAAATCGTATGAATTAGAAAACAGCAAGTCTGCTTTTGCTTTGAATAAAAAAGAAAATTCCACAGAGAACTTGTTTTCAGTGCCATTGCAATTTAATGTTATTTACGCTTTCATGACTTAAACATAATGAGTTCTGTCATCCTTTTCCTCTGCTTTAACTCTGCATTGTGCGAGGCGTGATTTATGCCTTTTTGCTAATAATTTATGCATTTTTACTAATGCACTCACTGCTTTGCCTTCAAAAGTTTCCCTCTTTCTTTGAATGTTCACACTTGGCACGTGATTACCTAGCAATAGATACTGCAATGAAAATGCTACACTCATAGAACTTTGCCATTTTTTTTTTTTTTTTTTGCGGTACGCATGCCTCATCACTGTTGTGGCCTCTCCCGTTGCGGAGCACAGGCTCCAGACGCGCAGGCTCAGCGGCCATGGCTCACGGGCCCAGCCGCTCCGCGGCATGTGGGATCCTCCCGGACTGGGGTGCGAACCCGTGTCCCCTGCATCGACAGGCGGTCTCTCAACCGCTGCGCCACCAGGGAAGCCCTGCCATTTTCTTTTCTTGGCTCTTAAACTGCTCATGACTGAAAACTACGTTTCTCCTTTGAGAATTTTAAGATTTGTTGCAGTGTCTCATAAGCCGACTGGCAGGTACTAGATTAAGTCGTGCATCGACTTGACCAGTGAGCAAGTAAACCCACATCTCTTTATCTTCTGCCTCCTCCACACACATTTTTTTTTTTTTTGCAGTCTTGTATTTGTGTGAGCTCACTTTAGTTATTATAGCCTCTTCATTTCCTTTCAGTCTACTGATGGCTGCCTTCACTGATGTTATTCTGTATCGTTGGTAAAATAATATTTCCTCTTATATGTTCATGCATTATCCATGAACACACAGAGTGACTACTTTCGAATTGTCCCATTACTTTAAATGGAAAATGGCTTTTGGGAAAATTTTTTTCTCTGTTTTCTTAAGACCCACAATTACTGTGAATTCATATGCCAACCAAGCAGAATTCAGGGGTGTTCTGTGTTGTGTTTGTTCTGCATGCAGCAAATATGCAGCATGATCATTTTGAAGACTTGCCACCAGGACCAACTCCATAAACACTACTTTTCAAGGGTTTTCTTTTCAAAAGATTTTTTTCAGCATCTTCTTTTCACTTTCTACTCCCAAATTAGTCTTCCACTTATCAGTACTTCCCATTTGGTTGTATCCATCCTTAAATATTCTTTATTAACCTTTCTCAATCTGTTAAACTGTCTTATTTTATTTATTTATTTTTGTTTGTTTGTTTGTTTTGCGGTACACGGGCCTCTCACTGTTATAGCCTCTCCCGTTGCCGAGCACAGGCTCCGGACGCGCAGGCTCAGCGGCCATGGCTCACGGGCCTAGCCGCTCCGTGGCATGTGAGATCTTCCCAGACTGGGGCACGAACCCGTGTCCCCTGCATCGGCAGGCAGACTCTCGACCACTGCGCCACCAGGGAAGCCCAACTGTCTTATCTTAGAATATCAAATATGCACATTTAAAAGATAGCTTTTTTTGTATCTGAAGTGCAGTGGTCTATTGTCTTTCTTCTGAGCATATATTGAGTGACAAACAAATGGAGTCATAAAAGCAGAACCTTTTGGGGTCATTTATTTTACCAATGAGGAAACTAAGGCCCAGAGAAGTGATGCCATTGCCCTGGAGTACCTAAATGGTATGATCAGGGCCAATGTTTCTCTTTCTGAATGTCACAGAAATAAATGTTTTGGTGAAGACTTAAAGCACTCGAGTTCCTTTTGGGGTTGATGAATAGAGATGCGATATATAAGTAGAGCTGCCCCTTAGTTAGTCTTCATTGACAGCCTTTCAAATTCTTATTGTGTTATGTGACCCTCTCCTCCGCAGCTCCTTAAGCCACCAATGAGTAGACATGTTTCAGGGCTGTGATGTTGCTGTATTTTAGGTTCCATTTTACAAAATCAGAAAATCAGTGACCAAGTCTGCTTTAGATCAGTGTGATCTTTCATATTCACAGTCAAAGGTCACTCTGATAACCAGCCTCATTGACCTTTGCCCCAGCAATGTTTGTATTCTGATGAACTTTTAGAGGAGATGTATATGAAAAGAGGTTTCCCATAACATTTTCAGATATGCAGAAAACCTAACAGCTCAGATAAAATCTTACATGAAGAGAGTATGTGTGCTTCGTGAATTAAACAGGATGCGATTTGAAAGAAAAATTTAACAGCTTATTTTTAAGGATCAATACATGTGTCCAGGAGACAGTACCTGAGTTACACTGAGTGAAACTAAACCTGTTGAGAACTTGCTCAACGAATGTCAGTGCTACTTGCTGTATCTTAATTTTCTTGAGAGCAGAATAATGGAAAGAAAAATGATAAAGGGATATTCTAATTTTTCCAAAAGCATGCCATTTATAATTTATCAAAATATGGTATCTTAGGACACAAAACATTAAGCAGTGGTTATGGCAATTATCGTGTTTCTCATGAGAGTAATAAAAATATGTGAAGCCAATTGGATTACTCTAAGTCAGAATTTCATTAAAGACTTTTAACTTCCCATTAAAGGATGGTAATTCAGTGCAGTTCTTTCAAATATTTAGTACATTTAAGTTCCTTCTCAGTTATCTCCATTGACTAGACATTTAGATTCTGATGACTGAGAGCTAATTGAACAATCCATCTTATGAGAGCATTGTAGTGAATTAAAGAGAGATTTTAATATTGTTTAAATGGAGAAGGCTGGGCTATGCCAGGATACCTCATACAAAAAAGTGGAGAATGGATCGTAATATGAAATGGGTGAAAAGGAGTGCATAGAATAGAGAACAATCCAGAGTTATGTGAGAGCACTACCTTGTGGTAGGATCAGACAGAAGTATGGTTAAAGGACCAAGGAGAAGAGATATTGCCTTTGTAAAACAAGAATGTGATCCTTTGCAGAAGTGCTTACATTCTGAACAACTCAAATGTATATGACATACACCCAAGAAAAGTTCAGGTATTATTTCTATCAATAGGTGTGAAAGTAAGACCCTCAGGAAAAAAAATTAACTTTTAATTTAAAGTCTCAAAAAATGTCTCTGTAAGTCAAACACAGGACTCATTATTTCTTTACCATACCATTGGTAGAAACCTATAGATTACTTCAGCAAACCAACAGGGTTACAAGTTATGTGGTGCTTTTCTATTAGTATTTATTTTGAGCAAATATAGTAAAAGCTTAAGATCATTTGTTTGGCCAGTTAAGTTTAGAGAGGGTAGTTAGAACATCTGAAGTAAACATAAATACCTTCCTGACAATGTAAATTGTATCAAGAAGCAGTAGAAATAGGAAAGAAGGTTTAAAGATAAAAACCTGGAGAATTTCTCTAAGGATTATAGTGCCAGTGAATCATCTTCTAAGAAAAAAAGGGATCGAAGCTTTATTATTAGATGAGACACTTCAAACTAGGCTGGACAAAGCACTGGGAGGGTTTTCTGTAAAGGCAATCCTGCTTTGAGCGGATGGATGGACTGTAGAACAAATCTACTTGTTGGACTTATCATCCAGGTGCAATTCACTGGAATAAACTCAGCAGGAAAAGGGAAAGATAGAACATGCCTGTGCCTGGGATTGAGCTAATAATTGCTCCACGCTCCAAGCTTTCCAGCACAAAACAGTCATTCCAGGCTGTCATTATCTCTTCTTTGTAGTGTCTGTGGATCATTTGATTAAATAAAAGCATGTGCACCTCTGTGCTGAAGATAGAGGAAAGGGCTGCCTCCACACACAGCCATTGTAAAGACACAAGCAATGTCTTTCACTCCAGTTTCATAGTGTCTAGGTCTCATTTAGAAGGATTAGGTTGTACACAGGTTTAAAAAAAAACAAAAAAACAAGATAACAAAAGCCAAGGATTATTTGCACACAACAGGGAGAAGATTGGTATGACTGAATGTTCCTTTAGCCACCGTTAAGTCTAAACAGACTTTTTTGGTTTTGTTCTCTGTTTTAATCAGGATCTAGAATAATAGGAATTTACCATTAGTGATCCAGTTTTTAAGGAATGCAATTAGTAAACTTTATTAACGAGAACTGGAACATAGAAGTGTTCTTAATTTGTATGAAAGATTCTACAACTTCACCACCTTTTTAATGAGACTACAGTTATAGAGTACAGTTAACTCTCATATGTTTTGCTTAACAATATATGCTAGAGTTACTACCACTCGAAAACTTTTTCTTCCTTTAAGCCCTTGATTAGCCTTTCTTAGTAACCTATACCCAGGGATATATTTCATCTAAACATAAGTCAGAGTATTTCAACAAATCCTGTACAAATTAAACGCATTTTGGGGGTTGAACTTCACAGGCTCTGTCCACAAATTGAGATGTAGTGGGGAAAATCGTCAGTTATCAGCAATTCCAGATTCAAATCTCAGACTTGCCAATCTCTAGCCATTTGGTGTTAAGTAGGATATTTATCTTCTCTGTGCCTCAGTTTCTGTACCATAAAAACACTTGTCATGAAAAACACTGGATTATGAAAACTCCAGCACATAATACCTGCTCAATACATGTTTACTTCTTTGTGTGATCTAACCCATCTTTCAGACTGGCTTAATTCAGTCCTCCTTGTTGATATTAGTAAAGCTGATGATTCTCATCATAATTCTGTTGTTTGGAAACTTTGTCTAGCTGCTCTAGAAGTCATTTAATACAGAATTTTAGCTCCACCATGATAATTTCCTTCCATTGTTTCCTGTTCATCTGTATCTTTTTTATCCATCTCTTGCTGCTCTTGGTCTTAATAGTGAAGGGAACTTAGGCTTATTTTTTTAGTAGCAAAGGCAACAAAGATAAGTATTGTGTGGGGCAAAACTTCTCTGTTACTTTAGAAATATCTCTTTAAAAGTTACAAAAGATTCACATGTGGGATGCAGTTAACATGATTATAGTTATTGCCTGTCCATGCAACATTTATTCTTCTGGAGCCTTATCACTTTTTTGACATTGGAAACAGTCTCCAGAAATTTTGGAGCAACAGACTTGAGAAAGTGATTCTTTCCATGATTTCTCTTGCTCTGTTTCTTTTCTCTGCTACACCTACTAATAAAACCCTGAAACCACTCAGACCGGATCCATCACCATATAATCTCTGTACTTTATTTTCTTGACCACTGCAGCATTATGTTACTAAAGAAGGAGCTGGAAACTATCGTGGCATTGGCATTTGTTAGGAGACATTTTCTGACAGTGACTTGAGAAGCAAATACATATTTTTTTCAAATAATATTTTTTAAAGAGTGATGCTAAACTGATTGACATGAGGTGTTGATAGTTGCCCAGAGATTTCCCATACGGCTCTGATCATTCATTTCCATCCAGACATGCGGCAGGACTGCTTTTCCTGTCCTGGGCTTCTGCAGAGATTCAGAATGCTCATTACCAAAATGCACAAGTAAGTTCAACCAGTTTGTTTATGTTTTCTGAGCTTACATGAGCTGTGAACTCTCATGGCTGACTTACTCTCCTGAAAACCATTCCGTATCCTAACGTCTTTTATGTATATGAAAAGGGATTGAAGTCTTGAATTCGTTTGCAAAGGATAATGTGCATAAACTAATATTCTGTTTAAAATGCCAGCTCACTAATTCTAAAATCTTACTAAAGATACATGTCTGTGACTAATTACCTGAGACTTTGAAATTTGTATTATTACCTGATATCTTGATATTCTTTATTAAATCTGAACTTGGACGAATATTCCTTATGAGAGTGGATCTCAAACTTCAGTGTGCATGAGAACCACATGGGGCACATGTTGGAGAAACACGTGCAGCTCTGCCCACAAGAACTGAATCATATCCTGGAGGATCAGGCCTGGCGATTTCAACAAATTGCCCGTTAAAACTGGGGAATTACTGCTTTAAAAGTTCAAAGAGTACTTCTTCCTTTTTGGAGTTGGCTCTTTGCTTCAAAGCTGGGTTGCTTTTCCTTTTTATTCTTCCCTTCTTTTTTCTTTCCCTCCTATTTCAACAAGGACATAGTTGAAAACATTACCTTAGATGACTAAGTACCAGCTGTAATATGTTAATTTTATTGAGGGATTTCTTGGATGTATTTAACACTCCTTGCCCTTTAGGTACTCAATAAGTAACTTTTGGTTGACCGATTATCAATTATTCAGTTAATTATTTAGATACATCCTATTAGAAAAATCATTAACAAAGGAAATAATAAACCACATAATTTTTCAACGGCCTCCTATTTCTCTCTTTAAATGTTCCAAATATCCAGACCAATGTGCTTTTCTCATCAGTAAATTAGGAAGCAGAACTAAAGAAGGACTTTAATTAGCATATATAGTACCCATGCCAGAGAGTGGATGATGTCTACGATTATAGTAATTAATACTAGTTATTAGAACATAGGAGAAGACCAGTGTGCATGTACCTTAGAACTTTCAAAGAAGGGGTGGGGGGTGGTGGTCTCACACTTGAGTGCGCATCAGAACCCCCTCCCAGGAGGGCTGGTTAAACCAGAGCAGTGGGCCCTGCATCCAGAGCTGATGATTCCGTTGGTCTGGGATGGGGCTAAAGAATCTGAATTTCTAACAAGTTCCTGAGTGACACTGATGCCACTGCTCTGTGGACCATACTTGGAGAACTTTGCTATACAGAGGAAGGAAACTTTAACCATAACAGCAAGTTACTCAGAAGCTATGTTGGGGAGCATTAACGCTAGTGCTTTTCAGTTTGTTTGTTTTAGTTGTGGAATTCTACTTGTTCCCCAATGAGTTCCCCAAAACTTTGGTTTAAAAACTAAGTTTAGTATTAGCTATCTTAAGTGGATTAAATCTTCTCTGTTTGTGGAATATACTGTTTTTCCATTCAGACCCCCACCACCCCCCCCCCCCCCCCCCCCCCCCCCAAACCCCAGTGCCCTTAGTACATGGGGGCCTGGTGTACTGTCTGGAACCGTAGATAAGAAAACTGAGGCCCAGAGAGGGAGCAATGTGCCCAAGTCACATAGTCAGAAATTGCTAGAAAGATGCAAGTAGACATTTATGCTAAGCCCTTGTCTTTTCTCCTGTTGATAGCCTAAGTTTTATATCTTCCCCCTTTACCTTATAATTTTATTTCAAGTTCCTATTCTTCACACTCAAACTAAATATTTATCTGTTTCATGACTATGTAGCTGGTCAAGTCACAGCTGAATTAAGAAGTCTCTTTTTAGAAGAGTACCATTTTAACAAAAATAAATTGAAAAAAAATCACTTTAAAAAATGATATTTGGTTAGTATGTTTTTAGAACCCAACCTTTGTTTTCCTTTTAGCCTTTTATACAGGTCACCTTAAATTCCACAATCACTAGCCCTGTTTTTGTTAAGAAATATTCTCCCCTCCTCCACCCCCCACCCCTTAGCTTCCCAAGTCGTTTTGGGAATGTTCTTCCAGGTTATAGAAAAGCATTTGGTCACAACTAGTGGCACTAGGTAAAGCCTCCATTAAGTTCATTCTGTTTCTGTGAAAGCATGAAGGATTCCATGGAAAGCATTCCTTCTCATCTTAAAAGTAAAATTCTTGTTCTCCTGTGAAAAATGGGAGGAGGAGAGAGCAAGTAAGTGTTTCAGACATGGTACCATTCAAGAACCTAACTCAGCATTGCTAACCGAAGTTGCTGTGTAACCTAGATTGTACCCAACTGTTATTTGATGAGTGCAGTGTATGACTTGTGCTGCTAGAGTGTGTAGGAAATGTCATTAAGTATATCCATCTGCAAGCTGGAATGTTGTAAGTATGAATACATGTGCTCGTATGACAGAGAAGTGGAAGGTGATGCCATGTATTAGCCACATAGGAAAACATAGACCGAATGTCATTTCAAATATAAGCAACTCACCTAACTGAAGAGTACCCTTTAGCAACATTGTACTTAAATCATGACTACTTTGAAACCTCGGGGAGAGTCTCTGCCCTAAAGACCAATATTGGAAGAAGCTCGGAATAAAGGTCAGAAATACTGGGGTTCTGGTCCCATATCCACCATTTATTAGCCCAGCCACTTGGAGTCTCAAATTCCTCATCGGTAAAATGGAAGTAGCAGGACTTGCCTTCCTACTTCATAGGGTTTTAGTGGAAACCAAATTATGTAATGTATATATAGGCACTTTCAAAGTCTGAAGCTCTATATAAATGGGTAGTTTTTAACTCCTTAGTCTTTGCTAAGATAATTATTTCTTCTTACTTGCCAAAAATTTGTTTTCCTTCTTTGCCACTCACCCTTAACAAAAGTTTCAGATGCATAGTTGAGAACCTGATTCTCTAGAGTCTGCTGTTGTAGTCTCAAGAGCAGCAGTAGTCAGATAGATAGATAGGCACTGAAATCGATTGCTGCATTATATAAAATAAGTAGCATGAAATCTTAGAACCAAAAAAAACCTTGAAAATTATTTGGTGCCATGAATTCTAAACAATTATTTTAATCTGAGAAATCCTTGGTTCAAACAAAATCAATGTGGAAACCCAATGTATTGATATAAAACAGATGGGAGCAGAGGGGCTTCACTGAAGTGGGGTATGGAGTCCTGTGGAAGTTACAGGTGCTGCATGTAACCTTGGCTTCTCTTCAGAACACAGGTGACACTGCTCTTGGGCTCACAGAGGCGAGGGATGTGTAGGCAAAGTCCTGCATTGATATTAATAAGGCAGAGCCACCAAGAAGTGGTGTTTAAAATTTGCTGATCACCAAGGCAGGGAAATATGCAATGTGATTTAGAAAGATTTCCATGGACATGTTCAAATATTAAAAGTGTTATCTTTTGAAGGATATAGTTTTCATTTTCCTAATAAACATCCTGAAACGCATGACTTTTGATGATAAATAAAAAATGGCTATGCCATTATTACGGTATGGGGAAAAAGTAAGAATTCAAAATGGGAGGGGGAGTTATACAAAATAGACTATCACTTTAGTGTGGAAGGAATTAGGCCAAAAGTAGAGCTAATCCATAATTTAGAAGTGGAGTACTCTGAGGTTGAGAGAAACATTGAATTTCTTCATGAAATCACTATAAGTGAAGAAAACGTGCTTGACAACGTAAAAAAAAACCCAGCAATTTTTATAATACTCCTTGGTTCTGGATCCAGATTGAAAAGATCTTTAACATTTTAGCTACTTTCTCTGGCTTGTTTTATATGCTATTTAGTTCAAGAGATTATATGGCATTTTTAGACTTGCTGATTTTTAAAAATTCTGAGTTTGTTCACTGGCTTGAGTACTGTGACTTAGAATTGAGCAATTAAAAGTTATTAAAGAAAATGTTCAAATACTAGAGAACTAAATCCAGAAACATACCTGCCAATATAAATCACATATGTAATTTTAAAAATTTGTGATGCAAGTTTCAGGCATAAGCAAGCTATCTCGGGAGGGCATATTGACTTTTCTCTGTTCTGTGGTACCTTAAGTAGTTTTTTAGAGAGCTGAAACTCAGTTATCTCTTATTGTGGCAATAAAGAAGTTTTTTAATTGTCTGAATAGAACTTAAAACTAATCTTAGAACTAAAAACTGCCTGTAAACTTCACTTGTAACACGAAAAAAAATTTTCAAAAACTGTTACTGACAAATGCTAGATGTGTTTATTATGATTTTTCATAATAAAAACTTTGAAGCAGCAAAAAAACTGTTACTAATTAAAAATTACATATCACAGTGCGGATGAGGCCTTTTACATTTATATTTATTTTTACATATTTAGACAGGCATATTTGACACATGCAAATATTCTGTGATATTCTTAAAATATCTACATGTAATTTTAAGAGTTGAAAAAGTGGACTTTATTTTGAGCACACACCTCTCTTGCACAACAACTTTAAATTTATGAGATAATAATTTCATATTTATCAATAATTGTGTAATAAATAACTAATAATCTATTAATTGTATTTTTAAAAATTGTAACTGCCTATTTTTTATTTTTGAAAAACTATAACAGAGGAAAGGGTAATGCCAAATGTGGTATTTTGGTTTAAAACACAGTAATCTAATTCTGTTTTCCTTTGCCACAAGTTTCAGACCCAAAGTTTACGTCTGTCAGACGTACACAGAAAACCACATCTTTGGAGAGGAATAGTCAGCATCACATTGATTGAGGGGCGAGACCTCAAGGCGATGGATTCAAATGGGTTGAGTGACCCCTATGTGAAGTTCCGGCTTGGGCATCAGAAGTACAAGAGCAAGGTGACCTATCTCTTTTGTGTTCCCATCAGTGCTTGGAAGGCAGTGGTTGGTTAATAGCCATGCTCTGAGACGTGAAAACACTAGACACTTTTTTAATGCTTTACAGAACTACTTTTCAACATCATGTCAGGCAACAGTGCTAACAATTGTATTGCATTTCTTACTTTATGTACTATGTGACCTTTGGTAAACTATTTCTCTATGTCTCAGTTTCTTCACCTATCACATGGAATAATACTAGGAACTATCTCTTTAAAAAAAAAAAAAAAAAAAAGCCGGAGCAAACCTAAGTCAATGCCTGGCACATAAAACGCTCAAAGAATGTTGGCTACTATTATTACTGCATCTAGTACTAGTACAAGTACTACAAATAGCACTATTTGACATGTATGAAAAATCTTTGTGCATTACTCTGAACCATTTTTTCAAACTGAGTTGCACCAATGCAGATTGCAAGGTTTTAAAAATTTACTTAGAAAACAGAGGGCCAAGGTCCTGCTGCCACTACAGCAGTGTGCCATGGCACAAGTTACTTTGCCTCTCCATACCCCCATTTCCCCATCTGTGAGAATGAGAATTAAAATAATGCCTGCCTAATAAAGTTACTGAGAAGATTGAATACTATATGTCATGCATGTAAAGGGCTTAGAATATTGCTTTGCCCATAATAAATACTCAATAAACGGTAGTAGCGGAAGGAAGAGGAAGAGTAGCAGCAGTAGTAAGTATATTATGTAATAACACTTGTATTATTAGTAATAACATATTATATTAAATATTCATATCACTATCATACTATTAACAGAAATAATAATAACTAGTAAAGGTCATAGTAGTCATGGTTATATAGTGATAGTTACATTTATCTGTGTTGCATCCAAATACAGCCTCTTTTTTTTTTTTTTTTTTTTTGTGGTACGCGGGCCTCTCACTGTTGTGGCCGCTCCCATTGCGGAGCACAGGCTCCGGACGCGCAGGCCCAGTGGCCATGGCTCACGGGCCCAGCCGCTCCGTGGCATGTGGGATCCTCCCGGACCGGGGCACGAACCTGTGTCCCCTGCATCGGCAGGCAGACTCTCAACCACTGCGCCACCAGGGAAGCCCAAATACAGCCTCTTTAATGGTCAGCTTGTATAGCTGGTGTTCATTGACAGCTTGGGACAACTGATTACACCCATCTTGTATTAGAAATATCACAGAGGTGATTTCTTAGCAGGCTGATTGGTTACCTTCTTAAGTGCCCACATCGAAGGGGAAGGCATCACTTCTGACCTATAGGAAATCATATAGGGAAGAGAATCCTAAAAAAGAAAACTGAAAGCTTAAGTTCTTTTTTTGGCCAAATAAGTAAGACGGACCACTCCCCAAAATAATGAAGGAGTTCAGCTGAACCCAATTATGAGACATTTGAATTGTCATACCATCCATCCGGTGCTGTCTTTTTTCTTCTGCCATGGGTTTAATAATAACATTTTAAAGAAACTACTGATCCCCAAAATAGGTACCTGTGACCACTTCTATCTTGTCTTTTATCAATTAACATTATTTCCATGTTCTGGTAGGCTTAAAACATTACTTATTTTTATAGTTCTGCTCTTTAGGTATGAAATATGAAACCCAGCTATGGACATGTGTCTCTCTTTGCTCTTTCTTTCCATGATCTATTGCTGATTAATTTCAGATTATGAACTTTAAAAATTGTGATTCATTTGCGTTACCTTTGCACATAACATACTTCATTGCTTTCAAAGTCTTTACATCTGAAGATCTGTCTCTCATACATTAAAAAGAGAAAAGGCCGCTACAGGCCCTCCTGCTAAAAAGAAAGAGTAGGGAAACAAATATGAATGTGGTCTAACTCAATGGTGAATGGAATTTTAAAACACATCAGTATGAGTCACTTGATTCATTGATTCCACCAGGTGTCTTATCTGAATACTTGAAGTTACAAAATTGCACGTCAGATAAGATATCTTTCTTATATATGCAACGTGGAGATGATACACACACATATTCATATTAATTCACAAACATTTTTGGCATAGTGCTTTGGGGAAAGAGATCTGAAGCTCTAATAAAAGACTTGAGTTAGAGTCTAGCTACTAAATCCTAGTCACTGTAGGTGGGTCACTTAAACCTCAGGTCTCAGTTTCTCCATGTATAAAATTGGGATGATACATCAGTGCTATAATTTTAAGGTAAAAATTTGCCTGACCACCCCAAAATTACTTTTTTTTTCCTCTTTCTCCCACAGAACTTCATTGTCCGTTTTCTTCATTATTCAGCTCGCAATTCTTATGTGTGTGGGAAGTGAGGGAAAAAAACTCTGGGAATCCTCATCTTCCTTTATTATAAGATGACAGACTACGAGTTATATCTGTGTATTAACTGGTTATGTAAAATAAATGCTAGTATCTGAGTAAGCTATTCCACTTACAGACTCTTTGCCTTTTCTATGTAGTTCATATCTGTTATCTGTTACTCAAAATAATGAGAGGGTGCCTGTTGGTTTTCAGGACACATTCTTTTGGGTCCTCTCATACAACATGTAGTAAAGATGCTGAGATCTAATGACTTATTTCCGTCATTTCTAGAAGCTCACATGCTTTTCTAGATAGTACATAAAGTTTGATTTATATCTCAAGTTAAATTTTTTAAGACTGATATTGAGGAGATAGTAATGACTTTTCGGTTTTCCAGATTATGCCAAAAACTTTGAATCCTCAGTGGAGAGAACAATTTGATTTTCATCTCTATGAAGAAAGAGGCGGAATCATTGATATCACTGCATGGGACAAAGACGCTGGGAAAAGGGATGACTTTATTGGCAGGTTTGTGCAATTTGGTATTTTTGGATCACCCTAGACAGGATGAGCTTTGTTGTAAGTCTGGTATTATAATTGATCTTTACTGTTTTGAAGCAAGGGATCTTATCATGGTAAGGCAATGCTTGGGTGAACTGAAAAATAGATTTGAAGACTGACCAGTAGGTGGCAGTTTTGACCACTTGATGGACAGGCTATCTGAATTTGATATCCAGAAATTTTCTCCAGATGTCAGGAACATTGTGCATAAAAGTTACGGGAGTTGAGAAAGAGGAATCTCATTTGATATAAGATACTTAAAAGGAACAAAGAACATATTCAAAGTCTGCAAAGCGATCTGAGATAATATTACTTTTCATAAAGCATATTGTGACCGCAAAATGCATTGTTTCATACAACTCCCTGCAAGGTAGAGAATCTTGATAATCTCCTAGGAGTTCATAAATCTCCCAGGAGTTCAAGTTTCAGTGAAGGAAGTGTGTAAGTGAGGCAGATCCAGGTTAATCTGATAATGTGGTGAAGAAAAGAGTATTCTGAAGCTTACATGACATCTCTGCACAAAGACAAGGTTATTTTGAATGATTGCTTGAATTATATGAATTGTTTTCTAACTTTAAAGCCTATTTTAATATTTTCAATAGTTACATATGTGTCTTTATAGCAAAACACATTGAAACCTGCCAATACTGAAATAAAGCATGGTGTACAGAAGAATTTGTTAGTTTAGAAAATTCTTTCTTCATCATAGTTGACATGATTTCCAAGTCTCTAAACATACAGCCTGAAGAAATGCATACATACTAATGATAATAAAGGGAATTTTACACTAAAAAAGCAAAAATAGGAATCCAACCCAATATATTTGTCTCTTTGGCTTTTGTTATTTTAAGAAATATGTTTTAAACAATGGTTTTCTTCATAGTATTATAAAGTGAGAGGTCACAGATCAGCTTCAGTTAACCTTTAATATTTTACTTATAAAATGAAATGAGAAAAACACCACTGCAAGCTAATGCTGTATGACATTTCAATCCTTTTTAGAGGACAAGCTTTCACTGCATATTTTTTCCCTCCAGTAAAATACTATTTTCAGTGTTTTCTTAAAGTTCTACCTTGCTCTCTTTGGGATATACCACTGGCTTAAGTATCAGTATAGATCTGTTAATACATTGAATACATTTTAGTATATATATATGTCTGTTTCCATCTTCCTCAATAAGCTATGAGCACTTTCAAGTAGATGCTTTCTAGATATTCCTTGAATAATTAATTCATTTTCATAATTTATAGCAACATTAGCTCTATTTGGTGACCACAAGGAAATCAGAATGGCTGTCATATGTAACTTGCTACCTCAATCTCATTACTTTGTATTCAAACTTGCTTATCATAGTAAAATAACGAAGTAATTGATGAAATGTACTGGCTTCTTGTACTTCTGGGTCCACATTACATGAAGTCCTTCTTATCCTTTTTTCCATTTTTTTCCCATAATGACAGATACCCTTTTACGTATTTTTCTTTCTTTGAAAAGCATCTCCAAATTTGGAAATTATGAAAATTTCTCAGCCCATTTTGTACTGACCTTTCCCTTTTCCTCACTTGATAATATTACAGATTCTTCAAGGGCATGCCTAATTATTTTAAGAAATGTTTGGCAGAGAGGTGGACTTGTTTATCTTACTTCATCTCATTTCTATGTGTTTGTCCATATTTGGAGAATTTTGAGAGAACAGTGATAAATGGCTGGTGTGAAGATCATAGTGATTGCTCTAGACAACTGGGGGAGCTGAGAAGGTTTATGAAGTTTGGAAAAAGAGAAGAAATCCATTTTTGGAGCTTCTGGGTTGGTGAACATGTACAGGTGCTGGGGGAGTGCTGTGCCCTGAGAGGGCATGGAAGCTCCACACCCCTTACACATACTTTACCCTGTGCATTTCTTCCAATCAGCCATTCCTGAGTTATATCCTTTCATAATAAACTAGTAATCTAGTTGCAAGTGTATCCTCCCTTCTTATTTTTTTAGCTGTTAGAGGTGTTTACCACCTGCATATGGTTTCTGGCTTGGGCTTTGCCTGGGTTGTTGGATGAGCTCTTTATGCCCGTGGCTATTACACAGGAGGACCTTGCAAGCAGGATCAAGAAACCCTGGGCTCCAGCACCCTCATTGCTTTGATGGGCAAATCTGTGTGCTCTGCTTCCCAGTATCTTGGTTGGATTAAAACTGGCTTGGATGGTGAGTCCAAATAGTACCATTAAAGAATTATAGGGATTTCTAAACCTCTCATTTATTTTGAATGACTTACATTTATTTCCAGTTACTTTTCTTTCTAAATATAATAAAAACTTATCTGGCATCAGCCTCACTAAAAAACATTCACTTTTGATCATATGCCAAATATAATTGCCTAAGAAAGCAATTTGAGCCAAAAAGTTTTGGAGTAAACAAGAGCACAGGTAAACAAGAAGACTCCTAGGACAGCTTTTGAGTCTCAGTTTAAACCATTTTACACAGTAAAGGGATTTATTGTTGAATTTTGAGATAAGCAAAGTGGACAATACAAAATTGTTGTACACTTTGCTAATTTAACAAAGATGCCTGTTGCAGAAAAAGGAAATGACCCTGGCAAATATCATCACTTCCAAGCTACTTGATGGCCAGATAGCAGCAGAAACTCTTGGTATCTGACTTTATACTTACTAAATTGTACTTTACACACATCCTGCCACTGAAGAACAATATATTATTAGATCTAAGTGGTGGGTAAGAGAGTTGCATGTGTTTATGTCAAGGTTGTGTGGTAACAGTGGAAATAATGCAAATTATAATAGAATCCCTTGGTCCTAGAATAGTTTAGAAGAGAATAGTTACCTTCTAATTAAATTTGAGTTCTAAGATTAAAGTAACAGGAGTAAAACTGTCATCAGGGTCTTCTGTATTCTTTTCTTTTTTTTCCCAATTTTTGAATTTTATTTTATTTACTTTTTTATACAGCAGGTTCTTATTAGTCATCAATTTTATACACATCAGTGTATACATGTCAATCCCAATCGCCCAATTCATCACACCACCATCCCCACCCCCACCACCGCTTTCCCCCCTTGGTGTCCATACGTTTGTTCTCTACATCTGTGTCTCTATTTCTGCCCTGCAAACCGGTTCATCTGTACCATTTTTCTAGGTTCCACATATATGCGTTAATATGTCATATTTGTTTTTCTCTTTCTGACTTACTTCACTCTGTATGACAGCCTCCAGATCCATCCACGTCTCTACAAATGACCCAATTTTGTTCCTTTTTATGGCTGAGTAATATTCCATTGTACATATGTACCACATCTTCTTTTTTTTTTTTTAACATCTTTATTGGGGTCTAATTGCTTTACAATGGTGTGTTAGTTTCTGCTTTATAACAAAGTGAATCAGTTATACATATACACACGTTCCCACATCTCTTCCCTCTTGTGTCTCCCTCCCTCCCACCCTCCCCATCCCACCCCTCCAGGCGGTCACAAAGCACCGAGCCGATATCCCTGTGCCATGCGGCTGCTTCCCACTAGCTATCTACCTTACGTTTCTTAGTGTATATATGTCCATGCTTCCCTCTCGCCCTGTCACAGCTCACCCTTCCCCCTCCCCATATCCTCAAGTCCATTCTCCAGTAGGTCTGTGTCTTTATTCCTGTCTTACCCCTAGGTTCTTCATGACATTTTTTTTCCTTAACTTCCATATATATGTGTTAGCATACGGTATTTGTCTTTCCCTTTCTGACTTACTTCACTCTGTATGACAGACTCTAGGTCCATCCACCTCATTACAAATAGCACAAAAACAGAACGATAGATCAATGGAACAAGATAGAAAGCCCAGAGACAAACCCACGCACATATGGACACCTTATCTTTGATAAAGGTGGCAAGAATGTACAGTGGAGAAAGGACAGCCTCTTCAATAAGTGGTGCTGGGAAAACTGGACAGGTACATGTAAAAGTATGAGATTAGATCACTCCCTAACACCATACACAAAAATAAGCTCAGAATGGATTAAAGACCTAAATGTAAGGCCAGAAACTATCAAACTCTTAGAGGAAAACATAGGCAGAACACTCTATGACATACATCACAGCAAGATCCTTTTTGACCCACCTCCTAGAGAAATGGAAATAAAAACAAAAATAAACAAATGGGACCTAATGAAACTTCAAAGCTTTTGCACAGCAAACGAAACCATAAACAAGACCACATCTTCTTTATCCATTCATCTGTCGATGGGCATTTAGGTTGCTTCCATGTCCTGGCTATTGTAAATAGAGCTGCAATGAACACTGTGGTACATGACTCTTTCTGAATCCTTTTGCAAGCTGTTGCAACATTCTCTGTCTGTATTAAATTTTTTAAATTAATTAATTTTATTGAAACATACTTTACATGTAACATGTAAATTTAAGGTGTACAATGTATTGATTTAATATATTTATATATTGTAACATCGCCATCATAGCTATAGTTAACACCTCTATCATGTCACATAATTATCTTTTTGTGTGTGTGTGGTGGGAATAATTAAGATATGCCTCAATTCACTTAGAAATTAGAGACTTCTGGGAGTTGATTGGTGGATGGTGAATAAATTTAAAGTTGACCATGGAGGGTAATACTCTCCCATCAATGTCTAATAATGGTTTTTAAGGATCCTGTCTGAATTAGTCCCAAATTTGGAACACGTGAATGGATTAGATTATCTACACACACTAGTGTACTGTGTTATAGTTTTTTTATTATTCACTTTATTTTCCAGTTTGGGTCACATATAATGATTTTTTTTTCTTTTTTTTTTAACATCTTTATAGGAGTATAATTGCTTTACAATGGTGTGTTAATTTCTGCTTTATAATAAAGTGAATCAGCTATACATATACATATATCCCCATATCTCCTCCCACTTGCTTCTCCCTCCCACCCTGTCTATCCCACCCCTCGAGGTGGTCACAAAGCACTGAGCTGA